TTACTGCCCTCGTCTAAATGAGTTGTACCAATCACATTTTGGAAATCTCTGGCCTTCATTTGTTGTTGATGCCCCTGGTACTTTGGCTAAGAAGTAGTCCTGCGTCACACAGTGTCGGCAAATGCGTCACGCGAACGGGGTGAGACGCCGTATATCATGCACTTGGTGATGTTCGTGCAACCACTACGCTGGAAATCATGAGGTCGGGTTCACTGAACAGGATGATAAATTCCCAACGCTTCTTACAATGGCAATGGCACTTACTCATTGCCGCTATTGATAAGAGTTAATGGTTTAATTGCTCAAAACCAGTGGGTTATGACTCTGTTTCGAGGATGTCGGACTGATTGGTGTCTTGGAAGTAACACTGATGAGTGATGATTCGTGTGTGGCATGCAAACGTTTAGCTAGACACCGTATGAGCATTTAGTGGCACGTTCAGCCTGAATGCCATTTACATGTATATAATGTGTATTTGTGATAATTCCAGTAAGTTAAAACAAGTGGCCTTCCCACGCCATCATATCATTAGTTTCGCGGCGGTTTCTCCGTTATTGCATCAATTAAATGTAATACAGTAGCGAGACGCGACCGGTGGAGGACTGCGAGAATTATAGAGATCGTCTGTCTCGAAATGTCACGACACCCTCGCGTTGCGTGCAGAAATGCCTCATTCTTGCCCTGCCGAGCGACAAGTGCGGCCAATTACCCCAGAACTGGCAGCTGGTGTGAAATGTCCCTCGTCAAATACCCTAAAGCATGGAAGGGATGGTGCCCGTTCCTTAAGAGGAGCAAGTGTTTCCGTTCTGGTGACTAATTGAGAGTTATAAAACCTCAGCATTATTGTTTTCATCTTGTGAGTTAATATTTACAAATTTAAAGTTTTTGTCCCTTTATATCTGTTACCAATAGTCTCCCTTGGTACATACCTCATTCAGATAGTTTGCATATCGCCCATGAATAACACAGTATTATGCAAGTCATCAAGTAATATGCAAAGATACAAAACATACTTTACACGCTTAACAGCACATCGTGCCGTTGTACAATTATTGTTGGAACACGGCTTAAATAAAAATTAGTCAAGCACAGTAGCGATTAATGTGGCCCAAGAACCAATTTACTTTATTTGGTAGGGGGGTAAAATTGTTGTTTGGGGGCCAAAATAGTTTGATATATTCATGTTGCGTTTTTGGCCTCTCTGAGGGGTACAAATTTCAAAGGCTGTTTACACTCTTTTGGGATAAAGGGAAATGAAATATATGGGCTAAAATCGCCTTTCTCTCAGTATTTGTTATAAAAGAAAAATTGTTCGGGGGGGTCCCTGTTTCCCCCGGATCCACCAGGTGAAGAGCTGGACGCAAATGAAACTTCAAAGAGAACTTGACCGGGACCAGAATATGAAATAAAAAAGTTTAGAAAAAAACCCATCGAAGTCAGCATCAATGTCAATGAAATGGAACTTTAAGCCGCATGGATCAATTTAGTTTACCAACACAAAAGAGCTTCCATTTCTGAAGAATAGGACTTTTATCATCAGGTTGAGAACACGGCCTGCGCGTAGCCAGACTTATGTTGCAAAATAGAATGTCAGTCTCGTTCAAGACAAATAACGCTATGAGCTCCGAGCTGGACTATGAGAGGGCGCTTTTTTTTTTAGCAACGGAGGCTTCTGTGGTCGGAACTGAAATTCGCTGGTTCATGAACGACTTGGAAATGCACGCGTATACGGTCCTATCGCTACCAACAACTGAACCCTCGCACTCCCGACCAACATGGCTTTTTCAACCGATTAGGGGGTGCTTCTGCTAAAGGCGGGTAAGGAGATTGGGTAGATACCAGCAGCTTGCCTGATGTCAATGTGTTGTCTGTGTTGGGGGGGGGAACATGGGAAGGGGCACATTTTTGTTTATACAAAGAGGCTTAGAGGGCAAACGAACTGCCGCCGGTGTGTAGGTTTTCAAACGGGCCGGCAGGGGACATTTGTTACGCATCTGCTTAATGGAGGATCGTGCCCTTCCTGCGCCTCCGTACATGACGCTGTTCTAAGATCAGGGCCAATTTGGAAAGTTTTTGTAACACAAGTATTCAATGCTTTTATCATCGTCCCGATTTACAGATATCCCACTTTTGTTCCACTCGACTCGAGTGCAAGCTTGCAAGACTCGAGTCTCAAAAATATTTAAAGCAAAAATTGTTGGAAAAATAGTTAAAATCGCACACGCCGCTGCTCTTGTATCGATCGTATTTATTGTATTTGTTAAAAATCTGTGACTCATATTGACTTGAGCTCGGTATTTGACTCGACTTCTTGACCGAATGACTCAACTCGACTTGAGTCACGATGTTAAAATGACTCGACTCGAATCACCGAATTTAGTGACTCGTTACAACAATGTCAAGTGCCCTTTCCCACATAAGAGCGATTTTTCAAGATTGCCCTAGTTGTTCTCCGTGACGTTTGAACTTCAGCTTTTGATACTGTCCGCTTTGAGCAGCTTTATTATAAAAATATAGTAGGGACCAATAGAAATAGTACCGTTGCCCGTGCGGTTGTGCATGCGAGTCGGGAAAAAAAACTTGGTTAAATTCGGCGTGTTATTCTATCCTCTCCACTAGACGCCAAGTGCATTTCACATCTTTATCATTATGTAAATGAATACCCACTAAAGTTTTTGAAATAACCGCAGGAATCGGCACTATAACCACCCAGTTTTTCCGTGCCACATATGAATCCCGTGTTTGCCCCATTTCCTTGATGGACAGTAACGCCAAGTCACCCCTCCCCTCGCTTTTCGATTTTTGCAGTTAACAAGGGGGCTGTTGATTGCCGTTCTTTTTCGTATTTAACCCTCTCCAATTTGTTTTGGGTGTTTTTGAGGGGTTTCTTTTCACGGGGGAATTTCGTTTCTTGTGGCAGAAACAGCAGACTAGATACCTTATAGGAAAGCTTAGGACGTCGTGGGCAGTAAGGATGGCAAACAAGCAATGTCTTCATACAGCCAGGAGACAAGAGAAACAATAATTGGGGACTGTCAGTTATCGGCCAACAGGACGAGGAAAACTACATGAAAACACGTCATTAAAAATGGAAGATGGCACACCAAACTGACTTCACATCTTTGCTCTTACGCAATGCAATGACGAAAGAACGCATCAAGACCGAGGACTAGACGCCATTGGGCGCCATCTTTGGAGGCCCAAATGCGCGTATCCAGTTGATGACGACCCATCATAGTGGATTGTTGCGTTAGGACATTTAATGTCCATTTTCTGTGGACTCAGTTTTTATTTTTTTTTTCAAATAACAATGTTCTTTACGTTCAACCCACGTCGTTATTGCTCGATACTGCAAAAAACTTGGAAAATTACCAATGTAAATAGCTCCCCCAGCAGCCCTGTAAATTGTGGCGTTTATCTTTAGAGACCACCAAATCGAGCAAACTTTGTGTACGGCGTTAGCCGCAGCCATTCTGTGCGTACAGATTTTATGTAGGACGTTTATAATGATTCTTTTCGAGTTCGGCATTAGGCTTCACTGTTTCTCGGCAATGGAAAAGAGGCCGTTGAAGCTAACAGTTTTGAAAATATCCTTGTGGCTGAGTTTAATAACAGAAGAGACTGCCCTCCGATGAGGGCGTACATCGTACAAATTGTTTTACAGGAGATCTTCTGCTGCTGACCTCCCATGAATAAGGAAGCAATTTGTTGTAGGACTTTTCAGTTAGTAAATACTTGCAGCCGATGGGGGGGGGATAAAATCTAAAACCCTAGGGCAGGGGTGTTGACATGATCTATCACAAGGGTGCGCTGTTTATGGTACAAATGTATTTTTTTTTTTAAAAAGGCGCTTAAAGTTTGTACATTCTAAACACTGTTTTGTACCCACGTTTAAACGAGTTTCAACCACGATACGCTTAAATATTTACATGAAAGTGCATTTAACAATGTATTCAAATCCTAAGTGGATTTCACAAGCTTAGCATGTAGGCCTACCGTGAAAAAGTGCTTAAACTCATTCCTAAACCAATTTAAGTGTAAAATGTTTAACTATAACCCACACAACTGCTTTCGCTCTACAAAAGTGAATGATGAATTTCAACGATATCGTATAAAAAGAGCGTCATGTATGAGCAAATGTCACATGTATATGAATATTCATAGGAAGTGTAGTTAACTGAGAATGAGACACATTACCAAAGATGTCCCTGCCACCAAAAATTTGTAGCGGGCGGTAAAAGTCTTTATCCCTCCTCCCTGGGATCGCTGAATGAGACTGATATCTGTAGGCTATTGTGCTGTTAATTCTAACGAAAACGGAACAAATTTGATTTATTTTCAGATAATCTAATCAAATAGATCTGGAAATGTTTATTGAATATGACCAGTGGTGACATAATTATTATCAGTCACCGTTCGATCTCTCAAATTGCAAGAATTTCGTTCGTTAATGTGACTTTACGCAGGTAAGAATGATAAAGGAATATTTCCAAAATAAATATAGTTCCAAAAGTGACGAATATTATATTATTAATCTAATATTATTTTTGCCTTAGGATAACAGTCAATGGAGACGGAGGAATCTGTAATCTCCACTTTATATCTAGTGAAAAGGAAATATTAGATTATTTTTTTCCAGCTCAGTTGGTGTCAAGTCTCCCGAGGGCAGATCGTATGCCCCTGTAGGTGCCACTCCCACCCTGACACACCAACTGCACCTTCTACTCCAAGATTCTTCGCGGTGAGGCACCATACTGTGACCTCCTTTGCTACTTTTATGGCGATGGGTTTCGCAAGGAGGTCGGAGACATACCTTGGTTCTCAGAGCAACAGTTTCAACAACTCATTTCCGAGAAAATTTCTGATTCAGAACGATACTCTCCCACCACTCGGAAAGCTTGTGGCCACTAAGCGCGGAGACGCGAAAGATAATTGCCGATTTATAATTAAATTTAGGCCGAACCAAAGACGACACTGCATCGCCAAGCGTCCATGAAACGGCGAGGCAGGGTCTACCCGCATAAGGCAAGACGTGTCAACATTGCTGCTTGGCGTTATACACGATATATACAGTTGGAACCTGGCCGGAGAATTTAATCATTTTCGATGGGTAATTTCGATGCAAGTGACATATCGTGTTTTGGGTAGATGAAGCCTTAATCAAAATTTTCATATCTCCATTGATTTGTGCACTATAGAATAGCAAGAGTGGATATGGTTCAGATAAAGCTTAACTTGTTTGGCGTCATCAGAGGATTGTATTCACCCTGTCTGATGGTTCTTGTAAGCCTACTTTTGACGGATGACAAAGCTGGAGCCCTGCCAGCAGGGGGAGGGCGGAGAGTATGCCGTGGCCTACCGGCCAACTTGCAGCCAGACACCGCCGCTGGAGTCGATGGAGTAAGAGCTGAAGGCCACATTCATCTACGGCGAATCCAGCTTAAAAGCTACACTCCCGGACAACATGTTATTGGTGAGACTAATGAGAAAAATGTACACAGCAATGACTTTAATTATTGTTTTCCCCAAACCAGAAGGTTGTTTGTTGTACTTTTTACCGAAGGTTGTTTTAAGTGGACTTCCGAAGCGTAATTGCCAAGGCTTCAGATGACAGACCGCAAAATGATGCGTAAGTCGTCCCCTGCCCACTCAAACTCAGGAAATTACACCAACTGCCAGATATTACCATTTCCATCGAAGGGATTTCAAACTAGTTTCCTTCAGTGATTACTGCATGTACTTTTAGTATGTCGCTGTTTGTTCTCAATTTCGTTTACAAATTTCCGTCTTCGAGTATTGCCCCAAAATTTTCGTGCAATCTCCTCATGTTTCACAACTGTCGTATTGTCTCGTTTCACTGAATACGGTGTCTCCAGCAACATGAAAGGTAACGAAGTGACCGGTCAACATTTAAATGATCAAAGTAACCCTGCTTCTTTTTCAGTTGAGAGAACCGAACATGCAACCTTGCAATTTGGGTTAACGGAAGAACTGAAATACACGAAACTGTATAAACGACCAATTTGACAATTTTATTTGAGGTGCCTTTCAACATTAAGCAGCGCTTTTTTGCGAGATAAAAACAACGAAAAAAGAGGTCAGGGCTGCCATCCGTATTTATTCCGTGAATAGTCCGTAATGGTCATGTTATTCATGCCTCCAAAGGGTGAGTGAAAATACTACAAAGGGACTGTCTGCATGTGTGTCTGACCTACTTTATACCCACCATTTTATAATGTGTGTCGTCCATGTTGTTAATTGCAATCTTTCAGGATTTAACCATATCAGTCTGGGTTTGAAGACGTCATATGATGGCGCAATCATATTGTTTACTGTAGCTCAGCGGCTTGTCAAGATGAACATACATGTATATGCAAGATAAAGACAAAACTTACAAAAAGAAAAAACAGGAAAAGAAATACATGTTAGAAATAGAATGAAACGAAAATAGTCAACCAAAAAAAAAGAAAAAAAAAGAAATAATACTTTTCAAGGGATGGAAGAGAACCAATAGAATCGACTTATTTCAGTGTTTAGAAAAAAAGTCACATCAGCATAAGAAGGAGGTTTGAGTCTCACCATAGCGCACGCGTGGTGCTTTTTCACCAGGCTAAGTAACCTCAGTCCTCAAACGACAAACCTTAGCCTTTAAACTAGCAGATTATTTTGTGACATAGGAGCAGTGTTGCGTGTGGCAGATGTTCTAAAATACCATGCAGCAAATGAACCCAGAGGAAGAGAGAAATCATGAAAGTAGACCTTGGAAAAACAACAATCATTCGTGCGTTCGACAGGGGCCTCATCACGAAAATTACTGCAAAATGCATGTCAAGATGCAAAAAAACCCAGGAGGAGGTAACAATCAAGGTGATGGTCAGAAGAAACACCCACGCATAAAAATGTTGATGATTCCAATTTAACCCGTTGCTTTAAATTTGTGCATTGAATGTAATAGTTTGGCAACGTGATGGACGTAATCAAAGGGCAATTTTTAATACCACAGTTCATCTCTGTTTTTTTCTCAGAAACATCCTTTGAGGTAAACACCAGGTTGACAATGTCAGTGCTTCCCACCTGGGCCCTGATTCTGAATGTTACGCATAGGACTTGGTCTTAAAAATTGAGCATGATGTGGTGGATATGTCATTCCTCGCTACGTCCTTGAATGTGGCAAACTCAGCGCGAATTTAAAAGCCCCGTGCACGCTGCATAAAAGCCTTTGACGAGGGGAAATGTAATATGCAAACCAGTGTTTCTTGTTGTTCAATGTGAAGTTAGCCATGAAATGCACATTTGGCGTGTAGGACCCGTCCTTAGCACGAAATTAAATTAGTCAACCTGCATTAGTCAGCGAGGACGGTTGGCGCTCCTTTCAACGGAAACCACAAGGGTTTAAAGCCATCGTTGGAAATTAAAAAGATGGGTAAAAGAAGATCAGATGAGATTTTCTATCGTTAGAGTACCACTAATTTTCTTTTTCATTTAAGGAATATTTTTTTCTATCGGAAAAGGCAAGGCATTTGAAGTGACCTCCGCCTGGTATAGAAAGGCATACTCATTGTGGGTACCTTGGCCGCCTGGAACTCGTCATAGGTATTGATGTACTGATGCATATTGTATGTATTGATAAAGGCTCAGTGGCATATTAAGGGAGGGAAATGCTAGTCCCCCGGAGTGGGGAACAAGTTGCAATTTCTAGAATAGGAATTGAAAACCGCCATCACTTAAGAAAGCCTTATACTAGCACTTCCTTTAAATGTGAAGGTTCTTTTACGCATGCTTTTGTGAAAAAAATTTTGACAATCATTTCAGAAAATTCTGTAGGGAGCCTATTTTTCCAATGCGGGACTGGAAACATGATGCATCACTAGTTAAGAGATCTAGTCCAGCCATGGCTGTTGCAGTGCAGGCATCTGAATGTGTTATTACACGTGCTAAATAAGCACTTCACTGCCAAAAAATTGCGGTGTCATTTGCTATGAATATTGTACCTCATCTGCTGAGCGGAGATCCTATATGGAGTTGATGCCATACCGCAGCGTCGAGAGTGCTTTCCTAACAACTATTTCTAAAGTGTGTAAAGTTGCACTTATACATGGGGCCTTGTGGGGTACTGGAACAATGGGAAGTACCCCAAAAGGCCAGTTTCTACCTTAACAAGAATTTCACGAAACTGATATTTGGAAATAAATCAAAAAGGGGAAATTCTTGATGGGTAAAATCCGTCGCAAATTGAAGTGTTTTAAATGAAGGACGTACGGCCGAAATTTCAACCCAGGAAAGTGAATTTGGTTTAAATTGGAGTGATTTGAAATTTTTGGCGTGTTGTGTGGGAGTTTTGTACACGAGAACAAAGGAAATACCCCACAAGTATAGCCGTGTAATGGTGAGTTTGTTTCTGCATTCAACTGGGGACCCTGAACAATAGAGGACAATAAGGTCCCCGATTGACAGAGGGTCCCCGATTGACAACTGTTTACAAAACATATGGGTGGTCTTCTAAAAAAGTTAAAGTACAAACAAAAGAGGAACAATAGGGGGTCCCCAGTTACAGGTAAACACACACTTGTGTGTGTATGTGAACTTTTATAGGATTTAGCCCTACCCAGAATATTTTTCCTCTATAGCCACCTTTTTATCTGCCATTTCTTTTTTGCGCTCATCCCAAAGCGTTGTAAGCTTCCCGAATGACGATGTATCGCACATCTTTTTGTACCAATGTCATGATTTTCGCCACGGACGTATACCGCTCCCATGAAACATCAATTTTCAAATTACTAGGGACCGAAACTCTTCGCATTCTTTCCAACAATGCCCAAAGGAATGCTGTTTCTTCACGAGAGGAATATAAATTACTACTGACCATTATAATAATTCTCCTTCGATTTGGCCTGAAGCTTTGAAGATGTAGCAGTAATCATACATGCACAAAAAGGAAGATTTACTCATCAATCATGTTTGTCACTGCCCAGAGTTCAAAAGGTTCCAATGTTACCTTTGAACTGAGTGTATCTTCCACGATAATGAAATAGGCTTGAGATGCATATATAGTAATGAGCATACGCGATAGCAATACTGTACATGTACATGTATACCATTAAGGAAATACATGCATAAGTAGACAGAGTTCACATAATTTGTTTATATAACGAATGTTTATAATGCATTTTAAATATTCTCGTGTGTGCTTCTTGTTTTACAGAACATGACATTAAATTAGTGAGCCAACTTTTCTCATTTAGGTTCACAATTTGTAGAGAAAAAATACACCTGAATGGACATAAAAGAAGACGTCAGTTTGAAAGCAATACTGCCCACATTTATCAGCAAATGTAGAGAAATTGTTAAAAAAGGGCACTTTTCAATGAGGTTAACCAACTGGGGATATCACATACTTTTCATACATGAAAGAAAAGTAGCACAATTCACAAAATGTGTATCCGAGGAAAAAAATCATCCCATTAGCCCTTTAAATGCGGCAAAGGTGGCAAGCGGTCAGTTGAAAACCTTGCCTGTTTTTCCTCTGCAGTTTCTGTTCTGGAAACTTCTTCAGACAAGGAGGAGCAACAGAGCAATCCACAGGTCAAGCGGTATGCCCTGCAGGCTATCAGCGATGCCACAGGCGAGGCGGTCGGTCGGTTTAAAGCCGTCTCTGACGCCACTCGGCTCCACCACTGCGGAAAGTGGACGGTGCTCCACGAGCGAAGGCAGAGCGGTGTGTCGTTTAGCTGGTTACCACCGCAAGAGGGAGCCGTTCAACCCGTTGTCATAACGTAAGAAAAAAATCCAGGATATCATATCCTGCTTATTCAGTGTTGTTGACTTGAAATGCCGACTCTGACTCGAATCAGGCTCGAGTCCTCATTTTTCGAACTGAGGTTTGACTTGGAAAAAATGATTTTAAAAAAGGACTTAGGGACCTGACTGAAACTGACTGCTTGACATTTTACCAACTTTTTTTAAAAATAAAAATGGGAGTGTATAGGACTTACAGTATGCACAAGCAAACCTTCAACTACACAGATTTTTATGATTTGCATATTATATCTAATAATAGATCAGACCTATTTTGCAAAAAGCGTAAGTCAAATTATCAGGACGTGTACAAGAACCATGTGGGCTGGGCGACTTAAGATAGGCTTGAAAAAAATGACTTGGGACCTGACACTTAATTTGGGAAAACTGAATTGTAACTTTACTTGTTGGTCCGCACAATCTATGGTTTGAGAGCTGACCTGCGTTCACCAGAATAAAAAATAAGCTAAAGACAAAATTTGAAAAGGAAGGCGGCAGCATCGACACTTTACTGAGCGAGGACTTGATTCCGTAAGTCATATGTATATATTCACAAATAAAACTTATTTCATTATCCCAATCCTTTTGTAGTGCCTTTCCTTTTTTCCCGCCAAAAAAACAAAACAAAAAACGATTTGAAACAAAATGCAAGAAAGAACAAATTGACATGCAAAATTAACCCTAACACTCTTCAATCCTTCACCTGTTGGAGGACTGAGGAGTGTTAGGGTTAATGGAGCTGTTTTTCTGCAAGAAAGCGGAAACGGCTACAGTCTGTATTCTGTGGACCTCTTGCTGGCATATACTCATTGTCGATGCGTACGTGTTTCACCTAGACCTTCAACCGTAATGTCTTTGCCGCTGAGTGTGCGTTAGGTCTAACTCAAGCCGTAGTCAGACGTAGTTCCGGTTATTAGCTTCCCCATATATACCTCAATAAATTCAGACAAAATAATCAAGCGCGCACGACTCTTGGTGGATATCTCCTTCAGGTATCCTTTCTCTCTCAATAGCTGTGTTTTGAAATTATAGGCTTTCCAGAAAAAGCAAAGCGTCTGTCTAGACCCTACGCGAAAACAGTTGAAATAAAGTAACAGGTATAGTCTTGGTACTGGATTTGTGACGTTACATGGCGACACATTTACCGGTGGATACATTTAGCATTGGGCACGGGGACAGATTATCGTGGCAACAAAATTATCTTTTACACCTTGGGTACGGGTTAAGGGCGAAACATTTTTTCACAACATGCTTGGGATCTGGGAAACCTAACTTTAATAAAGGCTACAATGGTGGCTCTGGGTGGTTTTTAAAGGGAAATAAAGCCCAACATTTCAACTGGGTAAGCTTCTACAAGGCGCGAAGACAAGTCTCCTCTCAAGAATGGCTGAAAAATCATTTTTTCACAGAAAATTACATGGTGCTTCCCCAACAGTTGTACAATAAAAATTCAAAACGCGTGAGTTCAGGACTTATCGTGTAGCGTCCTCATGGTTGCAATACTAAGAATATTTATCGCCAAGCGTATCGCTCGAGGGCGATGTTGCCCATAATAATCAGAGTCAAAGACATCTTTAAAAAAAACGGACAACACACCTCGTTATTGCCTATAAGTACTTGTATGTGATGGATAGGCCTAATCGAGATTAGCAATATATTCACTGCCCGTGATACAAATATGTGCGCCGTCATCTTGTTCAGACGAATAATTTTCAAATGCCATCATTTCAGATGGTTATCCAATACATACAGGTAGCGATCAGTGGCATGAAATACGAGATCTCGCCTGTATTCTGGCAATGCAGAACTGTATTTATGTGTATTCTTAGATTCAAGTTTGGGTGACTGATCATCAGATGGTGTAGCCATGGAGGCCAGCGTCTGTTTGTTGTGTCTGTAAACTATAAGCCAACGACTAGTTCGTTTCCTTGAAGCAGCTTTGTAAAGACAGAGTTTGAGAATGGGCCTGCAAAATGTTCTGTCTCACTACTTTTGCAGTATCAGTGCACAACGTTGCAAGCTTTTTAAAATACATTAATTCATCAGATGCACAACAATGTGAGAAATTGTAGAATGAGTATTTTTCCAAATGCAAAATACAAATTTCTCACAGGTTTCTTGAGATTATCCAACATATTCTTAAGTTTAACCCAAATGGGGTTTAACGTATAATTCTTTTCCTTTTTCTTGTTTGCAGTGTGGCTAAAGTATAAATGTGGAAGCTGAATCTCATGCGTGAATGATAACCGCACACGCAAGGTATACAATCCAGAAAAGTTTTGCAAACACGCTAATAAAGTTATGCGCGTGACTATTCTCGGTTTCATTTAAAAAGGGGGTATTTTAGTGCTAAAAGTTTAGTCTAGTTAATGTAATTTTACTATTCTATGAATTTATTTTCAATGTCATTCATCTTAAATGTAATCTCATAAACATTACAGTTTTAGCCGCTGGAATAGTTAATTAAAGGGTACTTGTTTTACGTTTTTCTTATTTTTATATTTATAATTGCGCAAACTTCAGAAACACCAGTTTTTGTTATAAACATTTTACTGTAGTTTGGTTTCTGTATTTCAGGGAGAGTTTTTTTTGTCATTTGCTCCAGTTTACGACGCTACTCTCTAGTAACAGCCGAAGCGTCTGAGTTGAGCAGGAGGATACAATCCCCATACATCTGATGATTTTCCCATTAGAAATCTACTTTGGAAAGTGAACAACGCAAAGTAGAAGTACATTGCGACTACAAACAACAGGACGGCGACACAGAATGAATTTAAATCTTCTAATTTCAGATGATAAACAAAAACAAGGGTCTACATAAGTGGTTTTAAAAGGTTTAACCGTCACTGATGCCTAATCTAATGTAAATATTTATTAAAGTATGGGCCTGAAAGGGCTGTTCCTCATATCACAAGAGTAAGTTCTGAAACTGTGACACAAAAACATACTCACAGATTAGTTTAAACCTAGTTCAGACTCGAAATATTCCTGTTGCACTTTCACGTTCCTACGAGAGGGCGGTATTGCATAGTAACGGTAAAGAAACCCAGCTACGATTTCGTGGTGATGTGGTCGCTATACAGCATCCGTCGGTGTACATAGGACATGACGAATCTAACGTTCTGGCGTTCAGAAGGGAAAAATGGTCTCAAACCACGACAGCTTCATCGACAAGATCACACCTGGTATCTTTTTAGAGGACGGTGTTTTCCTTTTCTCCATGGTATATTCGATTATTGATTAACGCTGTGTATAATGGCCCAAGATCATGGAGGATTGTCATTTTAAAGAAAGATGAAAAAAGAGAAAGCCAACGCACAAGTTAGTTGAATAACCAATCAGTGTACTTTGAAGTTAATAATTATCTATTTAATAAAATTGCCAGGTTTGCAGTGACGAAGGGAAGTGCATGGGAACCCCCCCCCGCTCAAGGCCTGTGCCCTCCGCGTTCCCCCTCCCGCTCATAAAGTAGAGGAGGATAAAATCTGGTGATAGTCCGCCTTGGTCCAAACTCGTTGAGGCTTCCCTCCATAAAATAGACCTTAAGTACGAGAAGCTATTTCAACCGCATTCCTTGAAACTGTTCTATAAATTGTATACTGACGATTGGATGGCACCTGACTGTTTTATGATTGACATGCGTTCAAGCCTTCTATTCAGTATTTTTCCAAATCTTGGTTGAAACACTAACTAAAAGGTACAGTTTTGTATGTCCATTCACACTTTAGAATTATTCATCAACGTAGACAGGTACATGTAATAATTTGCTTTAAAATTTTCATTTGATAACTTTCATTTCTACTGTTAACTTTCAAAAATGAAGAATAAACCTCATCTTCAGTTGCAATATGACCGACCCATGAATAGGGTCTATCAGGCCCCTCAGAGACCTCACTTGTGTTACTCTTTTGCATGAATCCCCACCGCCTATATCTGTTTCACTACCCGGGCACACGCTCCCGTTCAATTTTGATAAAGGTCGGCCCACTAAAGTTCAGGATTTCTCACGTGTATTGATAATCAAAATTCCTGTTACTCGTTACAAATTAAATGAAAGAATCGTGCTTCTCTGAGATCATTTCGGATAATTTATCATTTTGAAATGTTAAAATTTGACCAATCTTCGCAGTGGGAGAGACTTGAACACGGGGCAATGGAAATTATGTACCACTTGCCCTGCATTGTCCAAACAGGCGCACATTCATTAATTATTTGCTGTCAGACCTCAGCAGAGGCAGTCTGCGACAGGGGTGCTCGCAATTAGCTTAAAGCTGCAGCAAAGCCGAATCAACAACCACAATCGTAACAAATCGTAATGAATCCACGCACACGCACGCGAAATCTAACAGCCACTGTACTCAAAACAGCGACAGCAGAAATATCAAACGGCTAGCGATGCTTGTTGAGAATGCAAAGTTTTCGTGATTTTTTAACAACACATGCTTTAATACTCAGCAACATAAGTTGGGTGTTTATTAAAGGTTACCTGAACTGTTTGATAAACAATTAATATGTTACACGGCATGGACTTGGGTAATACAGTAGTACGCCTTCACAGGCTTTTCCAGACCAAAACACCTGTTCTTTTCATTGGACATTTGTGCATTACGTTTATTGTGTCAGTCGATTTGCTGTTTGGTGCACGTGGTATCCATGTCAGTAAATTAAAGCAAACCGTGCATCAATACATTCCATAACCTTATCACACTCTAGTAATGTTTTATGAACGATAAAGAATGAACACGTTAATTTCCTTGTTTTCCTGTCCTTACGCACAGCGTGATGTAAATTTATGCTTGCTCTATTCAAAACAGCGGCAGGTTGCAACCAATGAAGGCGATTGCATGGTATACCCTGCCGCTTTAACCCTATTATTTGACCTTCGATCATTTGAAGTTTGCGCACCACTTGAAACTGGCATGCCATCATCATTGAAATACAATTTACGAAACAGATCATTTAAACAAATATATGCTCGGTAAGAAAACGTCTATTCGGATCTTAAGCCTAATAATAGGAGAGCCGTTATCAGCATTCGCCCTAGACTGGGCAAACAACTGGAATCGGTTAATTGAAAACGTGCCAGGAGTCCGGATCATTTTTTGGCATCCACTCGAGTTTGAACCCACATGAATAAGGTTGTGGACTTTGGTTAAATCGGGCCAGAAGCTGCGCGGAAATAGAGAAAATAGACGACAGCTCAGAGTAGGCCTACTCAATTTGCTGTGGAAGCCGTAGCGTTCAACTGGTGACAGCGTTATAACCGTGTCGGTCGCACATTACCATTGTGTTGCAAGGTAACCAACGTTACCACGGAGCTTACTCGTCTCATCCCCACACAGACAAGGGAAACACTGAACCGATGCGGATACCAGACTGACAACTCGCATCGTGACCGGCACTAAGACACGATAAACACTCAGCTAACAGCTCATTGATGTAAGACGTGCTACGCCTACCCTTGTGATTTAGTACGCTGCGGATTTATTCCCCCAAAGTGACTGGTTTTCGGCTCATTGTGATGGTATGTAGGCCAAGGTACGACAAGTTATAGAAAAAGACAAATAGTACCAGCGATCTAATAGATCGAATTCTCAGTAAGAATAACCAATATCTGAGCATGTATTTGATCCTTTGTAGCTGCGTTATACGTAATTAAACCGAAGTACAATCATCAGGATCTGGATTCTATATTCTCTATGGATTCCCCACATAGCTCACCTGCGTCCATTGGGCGGCATAGCAGTAGCCTGAGTTCCAGCCGCAGGCGGAAGCAAATGAGACAGTCGGACGCCTCGTCGTATCGCATGCCGATCAGCTGTGTAGATTCCTCCGTGCAGGCGAGGGTCGTCATGGAGCAGATTAGCAGAGAGAGAAGCCAAAAATACAAGGATTCGGTCGTGCAAACGGTTCTGGGACAGCACGACGGACACAGAAAGCCATCGGACGCCAAACCCAAAGTGAAATTCCCAAACATTGACGAGAGGAATCCCGCCACAGAGAAGAATCCCGCCACAAGTAGACAGATCAACAACTCCACCAGCTGTGAACGCGAGGAAACGTTTACAAAGATGGAGACGTTTCCTTGCCACGCCAGCGGGCCTTCGGTGACCTCTCATTTTGAACCATTAAGCACAGACAGAAGACCTGGAAGTAGTAACAGGATTTCATATAACTCTGCGCTGTACAGTACTTCAGCCAGCTCTTCTGCTGTGGGAAGGATGCCAGTTGGCAAGCACCATCCCATGCAGCGTCGACCCAGAGCGGCTGTCCACAAAAATGGCGCTGTTTTGCGGGCACAGCCCATACCCGATCGCAGCCATAGCGAGGGTTTATCCAGAATGGAGAGCTGTAACGACAACCCAAGGCGTCGTGAAATACGACGAAGGTATACACCTGATACCACTCTCCCTAGACGCGCCCGGTCTCAATCGAGCGGTCGTAGCATAACTGATCCCCCCTTGCCTCAAACAAGGAAACGACGCGGTTCGAACCTCGACGCCGGCCGAAGTCAGTCCGACCAGGATATATCTGGCATCGAGGCTCAACTAAAGACTAAGCCACGCCAGCGCCAAAAAACGAGGCACATGTGGCAGTCACATGATGGTATACCTCAGGCGGCTGACAGCCAAGACCCCATGAGTCCTTCACTATCTAACTTAGGGCCCAGCGACTGGCAACTCGCTCGTGAAAAGTCATTCGAAATTACATTCCCTGGGTACGATACCAGGTTTGTGGACCTCCCAGACCGAAACGCATTATATCAGGAAAGTGATATGAGTGATATCGACCGCCAAATTGAATCTCAAATTCATGCCTCATCTATTGAAAAGTGTCGTCGATGGTTGAATAAATGGGTCCTTACAACGTAACTTGATGATGACATATGAAGATCATAAAAATGTCTTATGCTTTTTTTCACCAATAGGATGAATTAAACACTTGCCTTAAATGAGTGACGAACGGATATGAAATTTGTACCTAAATGTCCATGCAACAATTTTGGTAAATATGCAAAAAGTACTGTGCAATTTCAATAACACTAAGTCTCTTGAATGTGCAATCCAAAACAGTCGTTAGTTTAATTTGTAGATTTACTTAAATGTATGAAGACAAATAAATACGGTTTTGTGGAATTTTCAGATAGGAGCGATTATTTTGGATTTCCCTCAAAATGCAGAACGTTTTAATGAGATTGAAAACACGTTATAACAATGTACGTGGGCCCGTGACACAGGACTTGCAAGTGTTTACTCTTACGACGGAAGGATTCTGCCATATTGGAAAGAGAGGAAATCCCATTTTTTTGAACAACTGACAACTGTTTTATGTTTTTATTTCGTTTGAATTTTATTCATACATTTATGGAAGTAATCCGTGTTATGTTTGCAGAGATTGGTCGTTTAGGGATTTGTCGATGTTCACTCTAAGAATAACTTGCAAGTAAGTGGTTGTTATTTATAAAGGGCCTTCGATTAAACAAGCCGAAGGTAAAAAAAAATTTCCGAGTTATTTTTTTCTCTCAGAAGTTTTACCATGCACAATTGTAAAGGTATACATTTAAATATTAGACGAATAAGAAATTATGTCTGATATTGCCTTTCACTAAGGCAAGTAAGTGTTGCCGAGTGTAGATTGCTAGGAATGGATTTTCAAATACGCAAGCGCAATAATCTGTTTCATCTATTTTTGGTGAGGACGGAGAAGAATCCTACTTTGAACGCATCAAAGTTGTTATATTTTTTTTTTTAAATTAAGTGGGCCCATAAATATTGTCAAAAAACAACAAACAAACAAATGCAACAAACAAACTACCGAAATATTAATTGTGTGGAGGGAATAATTTGTCCTGTCGCTTCGGTGTAATTTTGACTACAATTTTATAGCAAATAAGGATGTGTGGATCCGATACGAATCCCATTCTAGTCCAACCTCGGATCGGTGTCAACGACGCTCATCAGTCGGAATCGAATAGTATTAATTTTGGTTTGCTACTTGACAAGTCGGAGAGGACTAATCATCTTCCCCCGAAGCCGACAAATTCTTAAAATCCGACCGTGCCGTAGACTTGTCTCGAGTAGATGCGCCTCCACTGCCTGCCATCGCTCGTAAATCGTCTATAACGGGCCAATCGTATATAACGTAAATCACGCATAGGTTGCGAACTGTCTAGCCGTGTTGTCTTTTTATCACTGAGGTGAGGTGTTCGTCGCTGTACGTTGATATGGGTTTGTTGCAACGGTAACCAGGAGTTTAAAGCAAAATTTCGATTAAACCTCATTGGTAATTCATGTTGACACATTGTATCTGTATACCAGCTGTCCTTGTTCAGTCAGTCGATCGTGAGGTTACTTGGACCACCTGACGATGAATCTGCGATATGCCCACTTCCTCCCTCCAGAGACAAAAATGCAGCTGCTCATATTATAAATTATTCTGCACGAAGCGAGGAGAAGCGAGACGATTAGCACCATCGAAGGAAACGGCAAGGTTCAATCCGTCTCCTCTGTCCATCACCTTGGCCTGATGAGCGAAAAGCCAGGGATTTCCAAACGCAGGGCTCTGTTCCACCATCTTACTGTGCAGATTACATGCCAGACTGATTTAACGACAAATCAAATTAAAAGTATTCAAGATTATGACCACGTAAACCTCTCTTCCCCGTGACGAGTCCCCGTGCGTGTACGAGGTGTTTTGGTTTCCGCTGTCGTACAATAAACGAAGCCGACAAGTAATTAGACAGATTAACAATTCAAAAGCTCATAAAGTACCGTATAGTAGCGCAGCACAGAAAAACCACGCATGTTCTTATCTAGTTGGGAGAACCTGTTGATGTAATTACGTTCCCAACAAGTCAATCAATTTACTTTATGTACGATTTGGCTTATAATCCTATAATACTCAGATTATCGGAACACATCCTGATGGCAACATTTTCTTATTGAGAAGCTGGCGTATATTTAATTAATGGTAAAATACTCGCTGAAATTTAAGTCAATGGGGTTGTCCGGCAGTCACATCTCCATGTCACGATTACTGGCCATGAGACTTTAGGTTTGACATAGGGGCAAACATCTTGGAAACAATCGTTGCACTGAAGTGCTGTCTGCACATATTGGTGTATAAAGCGAGTGCGCTGATGGGGTTGGCATTTGGTTTGACCCAGTGTCTGGAAATTTTTGACATGCATATTCATCCCAAAGTAATATCTATGGGTAAATGGTGGAAATCTTCCGGGAGGAAACGACAGAAATTAAGACGATGCCGATTTCCGGCGTGAGAGGATACTTGAGTGATTGTGAGGGAAACCCGTTCTATCGTGTGGATTTCGAGGCACAACGTGTGAATTCTGCAAGGCCATTGCGTCTTACAGCATTTTTACTACTGTAAAATAGATACCATGCACAATATAGGGCCGGTGGGTCCCCCCATGTGCAATCCCTATACACACTCTAGACTTAAACACACCCCTCTAGAAGTCTATAAAGAATTCCTGAGATTCCGATCAAACAGTGACCAACACAAGGGGGGGTCTCTCCGCCCCGTATCTTGCATGATATGGTAAAATATAGACAAAACTGTTTCAAAGTTCATTGTTTCAGATGAAAATATCATAAACATTTACAAATAAACTGATACCCATTTCAAGGTTAAAAATCAAACGGACACCTACATGCCATAAAGTGACTTATTTCCATACCATTCATGTCTTTGCTTAGTATGTACTTGGGAGACTTTTTAAATGTGGCTGACAAGTGGTACTTGTAGGGAAGTGGCATTTCACAGTTTTCCAATGCAGACCAGTCGGGTTGTCTGTAACGATTACTACAGACGGGCAAAACGATACACAATAGGGGCCTACAGCCGATACTGCTGGGCCAAATGTCAAGAGGCGACTAGCAGCGATAACCACTCCCAACAGGACAAAGAGTAAAGCGTGCGCTATTTTCTGTAAATATTGATAGCAAAGCCTGTACCAGGCAAGTTATTTGCATTCTGTGTAACACCAGACTCAACAATTAGGTAAAAAGGATTAAAGATACATGGTTATTTTGATGTGACCCAAACTAATCGGCCAAACAACTATTGCCTGAAAGGCCATTCTCTTGAAAGAATCCTGCACTGTATGGGAACCCTTAGCATTCTTTCACCCATTGTCCATTTTACAAGGATGCCCAAATGCGTGATACACAAAAGTTGTAGAACTCGATTCGCTTTCTCGTGCAAACTAAAAGAGTTACCAAAATTATTGCCAGAAGACTCATTTTTGGAACAGAAAATACAAAATAGGGGGGGGGGAAATCTTCAAATTTAGCAATCGTCACTGAGTGAAACATCAGCAAATCGATTTTCATCCAATATCTTATCCTAAGTTCCGACGGGGACTGGTGATTTATTTCTTAAAACACTCATCACACTCAAACACGATATCAACAGGCCTACGTCCTAAAACATCGGTAGCGTGTGGTGAGATCTGGTACATAGTTTTTGTAGACGTGGTACAAGTGCAGCTTAATCGGAAATAGGTTATCTGCCGGTCCCATCATAGAACTGATGGGCCGCACGGTTTAAGCCATGATATAGACTGCAAATGCACGGAACTTGACGGGAGCTTGCTACAGGCACACCGCACGCTATACACGCAGCAACAATGTATTACCATCGTATCGCGATCTTGGAGGTCGTAGTACAAATGTACAATCGAAGTCTTTTGCAACGACTCAATTAACGTAGTACGATCTTGAAACAAATTTTCTTAATAACCACGTTTTTATGAAATTTTACAACGTAGGCCCAGCGGGGTCTTCCTTGTCGTCGTCAGAGTGTGATGGGGGCATTAGTACAAGAAGCATTGATGCCGGCTTCACATACCAAAATATAACTGACAAGTAAACCAATGGTTGATTGTGTGTCAACACAGCTTTACATTTACTTGCCATGTTGACTTGATCAACATTACTTCGACTGATGATGGCGTAATGCTGTTTAAAAACAGCGTTGTGTAAACCGGCCCGTCACTAAAAATAGCACGCGCGCCGGTAACAACTATTGCAATACAGCAGATCATCTATACCACTGTTTATTGTAGGTTGTAGGATACCCTGCACTTTGGGGGAAGTCAAAATGTCATGTCAAAAACGTCGATATCATCCAATTCCCTACCTCCACTTCAGAAGACCCTCCGTAGCCGCAGCCTTTGACTCGGCTTCAAATCAAGTTCTCGTGCAAAACGGGCTCTACTATGTTAGGTTTGACGGTTATTATAACATTACAATAAATGACTAACTAGTACTTTGTGGGGTGTTCCGTTTTCATATACATAGTTTATTTCAATCTGGTAGTCGTTCCATCCTCAATAAAAACTGTGTAACAATTTACTTGAATGGTATTAATTTGTGTAAAAATTAAGATTATAGGATCATTTTCATAAATTCGAGAATAATTTTCAATGGTTTTCACTTAATTTGCCCAAGCTATTTACTAACCAAATTAAAGACAACATCGTGTAGCCTACTTTGATGTCAAAAAGCCGCGAGATTAATACATTTTACGTGAGGCCATGTACACAGGGCTATTAACTGAGTAAAATGCATACAGGTCGAAAACAGAACAGAGCGTGGGGAAAATATCCATCCAATTCCACAATTAGTTACTCAAATCATTTTGATGTATCACTTCATTATTTCCGTAACAGATCTCGACACGCCTTTTCTCCTGACAACATTGCTGGATCCGCAGTTTTGGACTGTTGATGATAAATGGGATGGTAAAGGGGCTATGAATAACTTTATATCGTTAATATCCTGCTAATGACCCTATCTTCGTTCCCATTAAAAATATCTCAACCTGCCCATTTACAATGTTACCACGACTCTTTACAAAGCCGTACATGTTCAAGGTCTCCATCTCACAATATCCCTGACTCATACCGGAGTTGACGGATGGTCCAAATAGGCATTTTGCGAGTCAAGTTTGAATAAAATCTGGTACACTGAGTTCTTTAAATTTAAGGTGTAGTGTTGCTTTTTCTGCATTCTAAGCCAACTTGGGGATATATTATTTGGGAACTTTAACGCATCCAATTTTTTTTTAATTTTGCCACTTGTTTACTTATATCATAAGATTTATTCTGCGGCTGGTCGCGGAGGATAACGGTGCATGGAACCCGTTAAACCCTTTGAAAATCAGCTTCTCATTAGTGGGGGAGTTTAGAGAAGCCACACCCATAAGGCCAATTTTTGGGTTACATTTTGGGAACTTTTTGTTTACCCTTCCCCGAAGTGTGTAAAAAAGTTCAATCTACTGTAACACGTCAAAAAGGAAATCTACATCACACACAAAATACTTCCAAAATTCGGGTACCTTCAAACTAAATATGTCGTTCAACATATCGTTCTGGATTGCCCAAACCACGTAACTGACCAAATCCGTAGAAGTTTGATTATGCTGATCGAGTACCTTCGATTGCTGTACGATACTGATTTGTACTAATATTTATAATCAAGCCATTGGCCTTGTAAATGACTGAAGCCCTGTCAAAGGACAGCGCACACACTTACATACAGAGCTCACAGGGAGCCACATTTTGAAGAGCTTTGAAGTCCTCAAACTCAATATCCGCTTGTCAGGTCCTATGGAATGCCGAGTTGGCTGATTTTCCGGCTGTGTGACTGACTTGCAAGGTTTATGGGCCAGTTGGCCCACCTGTTCTTTGCTCCCCCAGACAACCCTTAACTTATTATAAAACAGTATAACTTTCATGCACCGTACAATAAGATTAAATATGACAGAGGGTTAAATGATACTGAAAATATCCGTTTAGGTCTATTTCATATAGCAGGACCCGCTCATTTGATCATAAAAGTCAATGCTTGTGTTGAAGGGCAAGTCCTACGCTGTACACCGTGCTACGTGCCAAACTTCAACAAATCAAATTACTTAGAAGTTCGGCACGGCAATAGCACGACGTATAGCCCGTACCTAAATGAGCTTCCTGATGATTACACATATGATCCTGACCAAACGTGTTTAATAATTACTGAATACCCTACTATATAGTCGGGAATATATATTCGATTTGCAAAGAAGAGTTTTAAACTAAGGTAATGAGCTTGTAAATACATCAAGTACTCGTGAACATCCTCTACAAAATGAAGAAAAAATCGGCGGTAATAAATGTTTCAAAGGCTTCGCGCATAATAGCTTTAACAATCGCGGTCTGCAGTGGGCACACTATCGCTTAATGTACAAATGAGTTTTGCTGTAAGCCGGGTGTACTGTAGTAAAGCGTTTAAGCTGGAGAGACTGGATTTCATTCTGGCATGAAAATCAGTTTCATGCGGGAGAAAGCACCCTCGCAGTTTGATACAAGCAAAAATTTGTCATAAATTAATATGCGTAAATATTGCTTTTTAGAAATGTGCATGGAGGGTCAAACAGAACTGAGTAATTGCAACGGTTCGATGACTGTGTACTAACTTCATGGTCGTCAAGGGAGGAGAGTTGCCGGGAGAAAGATACTTCCATAATTTGACGTAGGGAAAGAATTTGGATAGGTACTGGGAATATACTACAAATGGCTCAACAAGTCCCTTGAAACTCTTCCCTTTTAAACAGAAGATGTTCATTAGACTTTATACAACACCAAAATAAACCCTACCGTCTGATTAGTGGGCTTTCGACCACGTCATTAATTATGCCATATAATTACGGGCAGACCAATGAATATACCCTATTGAATATTCATGTCACCGTAATCTGTTCTCCACACATAAATATTTATATTCTACCATGTATGCAAGCATACACGGACAGTCATGGCTCTGCACAAAACACACCCCCAAAGTTTGCAAGATACTGATTTATGCAAAACATTGTTCTGTATCGATCAGATGAGGAAATTCTGCATTCATAAATGGTGGGTATACTTTTGAGAGAAAACAAAACAACAACAAATTAAGTGGGTCGTAAAACGATCAAGGCAAATTGTTAGACACACCTGTAGGAATGTCTCTGTAAGCATGAACTAAGTCAAATTGTAAAAACGTCATGCTCCGATTTACTGTCAGGCTGACAAAGTAAAACAGCGACCTGCACACAAAGTTCACAAAGGATTTATTCATCCGGCCTTTTATAAAACAAATGATGAATGTGTCATATTCTTGCAGTGGAAAGAACAATTTCATTGGGATACAAAGTGAATGTTCTACTCCATAGGGCAGCACTTCATGGAATAAATCAATCAATCTGTCACTTCCTTAAGTTATCCTTGTACCGCTGCACTCATTAACATTTATTGTCTGTTAAGTAACAATTTCATTGCTGATGTAGTTTGATAATTATTAGGGCAATAAACAATCCAGAATATTTAGCTATACTGAGCATGCCTCGGTGAACAAAATGCAGTGACTAGTGAATTGCGAGGACTAACATTCCTAACGAGGTAGTAAAAGACAGACCATATTATGGTCTTCCTTTACCACACCCCTTATTATTGAGTGTGGTATCCATGCGCGGACACAGGACAAAAGCGCTGATTAATGGACGGAGATGTGTAATAAGATGGACTGTCATTACAAATGGCTTTGTCAAATTCAGCTGAAATTTGGCAGAGGTATAGAGCATGCCTGAAGTGTCTATGTTCATACAAAGTTCAAGCAGCATCTGCTGACTGGAAAGTGGGCAGAATCTGTTCCATCCCCTCCCGGCAGTGAGATGTACACAACTTTTTCGGGTTAACTGAAAAAAAGGGTGAGTTTAGTAGGTCGAATAGGCACGGACCTCTCAGCCTCCCAAAAAAATTAAGCAACTAGGATAATTTCTCGTAAATGCACAAATCTAGAGCTAGAGCATGTCTGATACTCGTGCTCTAAAACCAACTACACAGCCCTTCCCATGTTGTCGCTTTACACCTGTGCCTTATGCACTTGCCCAAAGTTATATTACACACATGTACACATAACTACAACGTTAGCATATAACTTAACCCTCGCATTCTTCAGAATTAACCACCGTCCTTCATGTATTTGTGGTCAACACTGCCACAGTCGGGCCAATGTTCTTGTTTTTCATAGTCATCGAGTCAAAGCGGGGTTATGGATTTAAATCTTAATTCGTTAATGGCAGTAAGCTTTGTTTGGGTTTGTGAGTTTAAAAGAGCACAGTAAATGTGGAAATTATCTAAGTGGTTCCAGTGACAGTGACACAGTGTTGGCAACAGCGGCAAAGTGTCCAGTCTATTGGCACTCAAAAATGATGGGGTCCACGCCATACCCAGTTCTTACATGAATGATTTAATGTGTGACTTCTCCAGAGACGTTCCAGCACCTTGTAGCGCTGAAGACACAGGTACAAGGGCTTACCTCTCCTGGCAAAAAAACAAGAAGAAAGTAATAAAACACAACAAAAGGAAAACACCTGCGCAGTGTTCAACTAAACTGAGGCACTTCTTGAGTAAGATGTGCATGAGCATGTTAGGTTGTATTGGGGCAGTTCCCAATGTGAAAAAAGCAAATTCCATGACCTTCAACGGCTTTCCAGAACAAACATGTGACAATCTCCATGACATTTAGTGCCTTTTCCAGAGACCAGTTGGTTGGTATTAAGAGCTGGATGGCTACCAATGGCCACGACTACAGACTAACAAAGATTGCCTGTAAATTTATCATAATTCTGTTATTACATCAAAAGTGGCCCCTCAAAAATAACCCTTGCATGATCTTGACTTTCGTAACTTTTCCATGACTTGTTTCCCTCTGACAACAGGATTCCAGTGCACTCAATTTCTGTGACTGCCCAGGACTTTCCCTTCATGCTCATCTGTTCAAGATTTGTGCTACAATGCCAGGCTATGTCCTAAGGCCAACCGAGGATTCCTCATATCCTCAACTTCCACAAAATAGTCCAAGGCTCTGTGTGTGGGAAATGCTCTCATCATCTGGACACATTTAAATATCCTCCATGTTACAGGCACAAAAAACTCCAGTGTGTTTTCATGTTGTCTGGCATCAGGTGGTTAAGTCTATTTCTCAATAAAGTGACATATCACCTATTAATACGAAAGACATCTTATTCTACTGGGCACTGTGCATGCACTACACGTGTCTCTTTGTGGTTTGACCTGAGTTTCTGCATTGAATGCAATAAATGGCTTACTTACTTGAGTTCCCGATCCTCTTCACCATGTCTGTCCAGATAAACGGACGCCCAATAGCAGAGCCTCTCGCCTCGAACAATGATCACAGTTGAGGAATTTATGTCCAGATAGATGACCGTCCCAGCTCCGCACGACATATTGTGCTGGTGCAACAGAAAGGTGGTATCATATCACCAAAAGAATGGAAATATTCAGATCACACTAGTAGGCAATAGAGGGGTCGATGGCTTCACCTGCCTGATTATTTACATCACAGTAAATGTGGAAGTTTGGGAGGAAACTTCAACAGGTGGTAGCAAAAGGTCAGTGCAGCTTCCAAAAGCCATAAAAAATATGGAAGAGAGTAACATTTCTCTGGAGCTATGGCATCCCAAACGATGATTTGGTCTTGGGTGACTTCACGTGATACTTCCACAGAAAACAAAAACACAAGAACTATATTGTATAATTTTATTCTTGATGATTTGCATAAATTAGAGGTTATTATTGTACAAGTTTCTGTTAAAACTATAAGTTTATAGAGGTTACATGACAGTTATTCCATTTTGATTGTATGAAAATGCCTGGGAAATGGACAAATCGATGCGAGTTTAGAAATTAAATGTAACTTTATACCAAATAGAAAACTATGCTTTTGGGTTGTCACTTTTTTTGTGAGAGTATAAACTCAAGTTTTTGGTAATGACTCTTTACTTAGTGGCAAGCAACTCTGACTCAAAGTCTCCTAGGGCACTGAGGCGCTCTGAATTTGCTCTCCAGTTGGGAGACTGCCTCTTTAAGACCTGCAGTTACAGTAGCACTGGGCATAAGATCAGATTCTTGGTCTTGGTTCTTGGTCTGCCCACTAGCTCACAGCTGGCTCAAAGCAGATGACATTGGGCAGCTAAGTGATTCCACTAATACTATCTCTAGGTAGTAACTCCTCGCTCCAAGGTAATGAGTCCAAAAACCTACTCTTAGCTCCAAGGTAATGAGTCCAAAAACCTACTCTTAGCTCCAAGGTAATGAGTCCAAAAACCTACTCTTAGCTCCAATGTAATGAGTCCAAAAACCTATGTGACTCAATTGGTATTACCTTCCGGCAGCAACTCCTCACTAAAAAGTGAGTTTGACACCAAAGTTACTCAACTGCTCTTACCTCTGCAATACTGGCCCTCTGGCACCCCGCCCTGGACCCATTCAGACAAATAAAGGTGCCACACGCCAGGCAGAGAGCAGGCCGATTGGGTACCTGATGGCAGTAACGACACTTCTGTTCTCGGTAGTACTGGAACACGGCATCGTAATTCTTAGGTAGTTGGAGAAGTCGGGGTGGGAAGAAGACAGGATTGTACAACAAAAGACTCTACAGGAAAAGAACCAGAATGATCATGTCAGCAAATGAAATCGATTTAGAAATATTTTGCAGTTGAGAGCAATGTATTATTAATGGACTCTAGTGCTGCAGTTGAACTGAGGAACCGAAGCAAAAATCATCAGAAATGGCACTTCCGTATTAGGGCAATGATGTCATTAAGTGGCCATGCAAAATGATTTGAACTGAATGCTTATCGCTGTTTGACCCTACTCAAAGGCAAGTCTGGGGCCTGCCAATCTGCAAGCTTGCCCAGCTGTTTCTTCATAACCCGTCCGGTGACCAGACCACATGCAACTTTGGTGTGATTGCCTCCCATTGGGTCGCAGTCATAGTAATGTATTCACTGTAGGGACAGTTTGCCAGGTTTGCAAATTTTTGTAATAACAAATTGCCGTTTTCAGTTAGACGGATGGACATTGATGGAAAACCAAGTGGGTGCCTACATGCGTTGTAAATATCAAGTCATTGATCCCATCTTGGGAAAGAATGCTGACTTGATATCATGTTAATCCATCTTTGAGTGGAGTGTGTGGGGTACCTGTTAATATCCTTTAATCGTTTTGTTCCAGCATGGTTCAAACACATCTGCTTTTCTGCCAGCGAAAAGTGGACGGCAGACTTCTGACGGTTAAGTTTCTTTGGAATTTTCATTTCTGAAATTAACTTTGGGGAAGCAGTTCTGATGTCTTATACATGTACGTAGACATGGAAACTGCACAGTGCATTTGTAATGAGTATTTTGGTGTTCTGATCATTATGAACATCTTTCGTCTTTATTAAAAACCCCTTAACATGCCATTTCACCATGAAATTAATCCCTGGGGGCTTTTTCCTGGATATTCACTGAGGGGATTATAGGACTAATGTTGCCAGGGAGTTTTAAGGTGTTGTAAGGCCCTGATCCCACAGGATGACAATGGGTAGTAGATCAAGTAACACCCCTACACATTCAGTAGGGGATAAACAGTCATATGTGTTTCACTGTGTTTCACTGATCACTCAACAAAGAGGTTTCTTGGAGGCATTTCACAGATTGCTTATCACATCTGAACTGAACCAATGTCCAGCAATAGACTTCCAAACCATGCCCAACCCAAACCCTGGAGCTTACTTGCAGTATTACATGAAACATTATGACGGCACCAGCTCCTGGCTATGAACCGTTTGTGGGGTATGGCCACTTTCTTTCATGTGCCAAAATTTGGTACTTGCTCTCTTAAAAACTGGTTCGTGGGATATTAAGGAATTCACTTTGAGAGTCTTTGCTGAAAACTGTACCACATCCAGAGGAACATTAAAGAGGAAATTTGTGTGCAATGCTAGGTTTGCTTTCTACATGCTTCATCTTCGAAGTAGAGACAATTGGCGTACCTTTGCAGTTTTACGATTTTTCCTGACAAATGCCAGCAGGTCTTGGCACCAACCCATCAGAAATTCTGACGGGTTGCAGACAAAATGAAGACACTGTGCACTGTACAGGTCGGCTTGCTGCTCCCCTGTAGAGGGCGCTGTGCACAGCTGGAGGTAATTGACAATCAACTCAAACTCTAGTTCCTGTTTCTGTTGGACAAGGCAGAGCAGATGACAGTTTACTCAAGGTTTTTGGTAGTCAACATCAAAGATCGTATAGCGCCGCAAGATGGGGAACTTAACCATGAATACGCGTAAAACGTTGTTATCACATGGGCGCCATTCTGGTTGGACTACCACTGCGCAGTGCATGTTAATGCACTGGCACCGTGACAGGCACGCACACACATGAACGTTCACACTCAAATGGCGCCCATGGTGATAAAACCTTTATGGCCGAATTACCCATCTTGCGCCGCTATGTGGCGCTATATAACCTTTGGTCAACATGCACGTAACTTCATATGCACCAGACAGTGACATACACAATAGTTTTGGTGCACCCTGAACTGAAGCATCATCCATAGACTTTGGACACACGATATGAGGGTGAATTCACAGTGAAACTGACAAAAAAGAATCCTTCACATACTACATTGTACATGTACATGACGATGCTTAAGGCTCTACGTCACCATTGGTTTACAGAGATTAAACGAACTAATTTCATTGGGTATTTAACTACCTAAGAAACAGGCTCAATAATTATAGGCCTTTGTGATGACGTGGCTTTGTTGATCAATGTGATATGCACGTTTGTACTGCTGTCACTCCATCATGTAAATTTGGATAAAAGAGAATGAGGGGCCAAAGGAAAGCACATTACACCAACTGAGTAGGTCATGCGAGACTACACGGTGGCTATGGGACCAGCATACATGCAGAGTTGGAGCAGCTTTTCATGTCATTCACACAACAGCCCGTTTGCACAGGATCTGAACAATGGGCCAAATTTCATTAAGCTTTTTGAATTTGAGAAAAAAACGCTTAAAAATCATACCAAGTGGCTGGAAGTCTGCTAAGCAAAATAGAAAACCTTGTCTGTTTTTTGTACATTTCGTTATTGGCTCCACAACAGTGCCTTCAGCAAAGGACTGACTCCATCCTAAAGAGGTATTTTCTTTTGTGGGGGACATTTGGACTGGTTTACGCAGATGTTGATATGTCCTTGTAGGGTCATTCTGTAAGTTTGGGGTCCAAACCTGTGACATTTTGTTGTCCCTGTTACACCTGACCTGTGTAATTTTGACACGGCAATATCAGTGAAGTTTACTCTAAAACACATTTATTCCTTTGGCAGGTAATTTCTAAACTTTCAATATCATAGGTCACGGGAAACATCAATAGAATGACCCTGTAATGCTTCTGGTCCCACTGATAACTAGCGTACAACACATCTCAGGTGCCGTAACTAAGGGCCAAGAGTGTGTGTCCATCACCCTGTACTCTTGCTTTGATAACTTGCCCTCACCTGGCAAGTCGGTAGTTCATCCCGGAACAGATGATGCTGCATCAGAGCAGCGATGCGTAGGAACGGGAGACAATACTCCTGTATGGCAGTCTCAATGCACTGGAGGGTCCAGACTGATTGGCATATCTACGATAGATGAAGCGGGAAACAACAGAGGGCTCCTTCACACAGATGAGCGATTACCAAATGCGGTGATGGAAAACGGCGAGTAGCCCAACGTTTTACACATGGCAAAAACGCCTGGTATGAAAATTACCAACTCTCACAAGAGAATTACCATCCACTGGATGAATCAAAGGCACAAGGAATCACTCGATGGTGCTAGTCAGATGGTGACATTATCCCTAATGAGATGGCTGAATAGCCCAAACATGTTATTTCTGTACAATATCTTTGAGAAACCACTCAGGATACTAAACACAATGGTTCAATGCCCAAATAAGCTGTTTGCCCTCAGTGCAAAGTGTCGCACAGGTAACCATGGTTTTCTATCTGTTATTGCCTGAAATATTTTTTATCATGCACTGCATAAACGTGCCCTCAGATATAAAAACCATAAGTTTGCTAGACGGAAAAATACAATGACTAAACTTCATCACTGATGATGTTTATAACTCCAAAAACACACTGGAAAGGCTCGGTTTTTACTTCCTGTACGAGAATTTATGGAGTTGATTTCTCAACAGAGTCATGACTCCCAGATGAAATGGGAATCGATTCACAAATTCTGGATGTTGTCTGAGCTAAAAGATGAAGTGGAAACTATGACTTGTTTGCAACCAAACTGTAAACATTAATTAACTCTTACTAAATTCCTCATGACCTGTGCTTCAATTAATTTAGGTACTACACGACAAGGTAACTCACTGCTAGTTGCTCATGTGACTCAGTATCCTCGTACAGTGTGCTCTGAGAGTACATCTTTATTATCTGACTTAGCAAGGGTTGCATCTGTATTTGGCTGGAGTGATCCTGTGAAACCAAAATGGGATGGGGGGCATCAGATATAATTATACTCATTTCCTACATTGGGACCTTTTGAGTCACTAATCACGGAAATTAAATACCCTTCTTGCTACATGTACGTCAAGTCCAGAGTCCAAGTCATGTAAGCTGAGTTCAAGTCATCTGTCATATATAGGTCATGTGCTAGGTAAATCAAGTACAAGTGCCAAGTGATGAAGGTTGTTCTACACTGGAATCAAGTCGGTTGGGTCAAATTCATAAATCATGCAGAACAGGGTCTAAGTTGCAAGTCTTGTGGGTCACGTCCAAGTCACAAGTCATGCACGCTGAGTTTGTTCCCCAGGACATGTAAGTCAAGTCCAAGTCACAGAGTCACGTGAGCCAAATTCACGTCTTAAGTCATACAGGTCAAGTCCAAGTCACAAATCACACGATTAGATCTGAATCCAAGTCAATGGCTTAACCACAATTTTCTCGAAGTAACACCTGTTTGTGCTCCTGTCCTGATTTTGTGTTAAATTCAATAAGAAAGCATTTTGACCATACTGCTTCTTTGTGTCGGGGGCAAGATACATTTATTGACTAAGAAAAAAATGCTTCATTGTGTAATGGTGACAGTAAGTACAACGATATATCAGTTCCGCACTGATGAGGGAGGAATTCCTAAAATATTTCAGATGCAGAAATTCAGGGGGCTGTATAGTACGTCCTGGCTTTGGCATGGTACCTGGCAAGTCTGACCACTTTCAGCCCATGCTCGCCTCTCTGTGTCTGGCATTCTGCAACTGATGACAGACAGGGCTTGTATGTACAGAGGAGCATATAGTGCTCGGATCATGCACGTGAAATGCTCTGAAATGGAACCAACAAACCAATGGAAAGTCATTAGCCAGTTAGGATAAATGATTGAAATAAGTCACAGGAACAATTCAACAAGTGGACACTTTCTCAACACATCAATAATCGGCGGTGACCTTTTTACACTGACAATGAAGCTCTAAGCATTTTTTTTTTAGACTGCCCTAGATAAAAAATTTCTTTTGCCTATATAAACAAAACAAACTGAATTCTACAAAACTTGCATGATAACAGAATATCCATGCACTCTTACATCCCCACGTCATACAATGTAGCTGCTTACAGAGTCAAGCTTAACTGTCTATCCACAGTTAACATGCACCTTGACTCCAGATCTGCGTAGCTAAATGGCCAGCAACACTCAGATCGTTGTCACCTCCCTTTTCTTATGCATGGCTTTGTTCTCAGTGTGCCCAACTCCTGGGCCCAATTTCACGGTGCTGCTTGACATTAAGCAAATTTTTTTCTAATCAAAGCACAAAAATTTGCTTAATGGTAAAAGCATTTCATGGCAAATATTTCATGGTTGCTGTGCTTAGTACAAAACTTCATGGATGGGCGCGCACAGAGATTTCCGGTGTTACGTCACTAAGTTCAACAACATTTTCCTCTTGAGTTTAGCAAGCCTTTCGCTGTGCTTACTGCTTATGGCCTCCATGACATATGCAGAGCCTCTATGAGAGTAAAGTCAAGTCCTTAGCAGTGCCAATTGGGCACTGGTATCTTTGTAACAGCATACCTGGCAACAGGCATTGATGGAAATGAAACAGGCTGAAGAAACAGGTTTAACTGAGTAGAAAGCACACTGATGTTCCTTGACAGTGTACACCACACTTGGTGGACTAGTCATGAGTCTCTATCACTGCTCTGCTCTGTTTCTGCCTCTGGCCTTGGGAAAATCCGTAGGCTTTTCAATGCTAATGTTGAGGTTCAACAAGGTTTAATGTTGAGGTGAAGGCAGCCATCTTTGGTTTAATGTCACACGGATCTACGTAATTTTCTGGCAACAAATCACCGACTCACATATACTGATCTCCAATGTCAGGGGCCTAAAAAAATGGGTGAATCCAAAGACGAAGGTGAGGCTTGATCTATCTCATCTGACTAGAATCACCACCTCAACGAGCGAAGAAGAAACAGGTTGGTGGGAAAACTTCAACTTGCACAGATGTGACGACCATTTAAGTTGTGAGTGCTCAATGGATCCCTACCCAAATGCACATTAACCAGTGCAAGTAAGTGATGAGGTGTTGCTCCGATGTAAAAATGCATAACCCCCTGTTCCTGCAAAAAGCCGGCATCCACTCACCTTTCGACACCGGATGCTGCATAGCTAGTACCAAATTAATCAGCATGGCTACTGGGTCTCTCAGAAGCAGAGGAACCTCACTGGCTGATCCGCTACTCCTGTAAAAGATGGACGTTATTCGCTCGCATCATCATCTAAGGTTGCATATGATGCAAAGTGCATGACAGGAGACAGAAGGCCATCAAGCGTTTGAAAGCACCGAACATGTATAACACGCCGGGCATAACTGAAAATCATGTTGGAGGTCAAGAGGTTACTGATCACATGTAATGCATGCTTACTTCATTGGGCAAAGTGTCGGCCATGTGCATCTTGGGGCAATGATAGTGAGATATGCCAGTAAGTGGGCGTGGTGAAAAAACTGAAGAAAATGGCGACAGCATCAGCATCAAAACTCATTCTCGGATTCAGACTGCCCTTTTTGATTCATATCATTTGCAATGGTCTCAAATTTGATCCCAGGCATGATTCACTGAAGCCCAGGTAAGCAAATGCAACAATGCTACCAATCAACAACAACAAAAAAACTGAGTTCTGATGTGGAAATTGTGAGGATCTTCTGCAGATTAGAAAATGTATAAAACAATACCAAAGTTTCTTCACAAAGTTTGTTCTTGATATTGTGAAACTTGCAGGAAGGTGAACTGACTTTTCAGGGAAACGACAAAGCTTCCCTTGAAAGGGAGACCAACCTTGACGTTGATGGTGCTCTGATTTGCTTTACATCAGTCAACAAGGACCACGGCTTGGTAGCCAAACCGACAGGGCTTTTGTCCAGGAGTAAGCTCAGGACTTCCAGCAGAGTGCCTGCATAAACAAGAAATGCGGCGTACAAAAACTGAGTCGGCCACAAGATTTTATGAAAATGACAACTACACAAATTCTTAGAAGACCCCCCCCAACTACAGCATGCAGACACGCACCACTTGGCATTTCATTACAGGTGGAAACACTAGTCGAATCTGAGAAAGGTTTTCAGAGCACACTTGTTCAGTTACTAACCATTATTCACATACAGACAGACATCACCAACCTTAAAGACCTTCATGGCTGGTAGGCATAACCATGGTAAACAATCATGGTGATGAGAAGGTGGAATAGGAATTGTTACAATTTACACTGTCATTTGAATTGTTTTCTCAACTTTTCAAAATTTTCTTAATGAAAAATATGGGGTTGTTGTCTAGTCCATCACTGGTTCCTGCTAGCCCATCATAAGCCATTCAGTCTTCAACCAAGTTGCCAAATGTGACAAAATTATTCCTTTACCACTTTTGTCCAGTTTTCCATGGCTGCACGTTTGACAGGACTTGTAAAAAGACTCATAATATAACTCATAATTCATGTAACTTATAACTGACTAAGTCAGTTAATTACAGTGACGGACTGAAGCCCGCTCCTTAGGTATGTGCTGTGAATGAGAGTATAATCTAGAATTGATAAAATATACCATCTTTGGAGTTTGCTGCTTAGATTTCAGTCTTACCAATGCAAGTTCTCCTGTTTGTGGATGATTGGCAAGTTGATGGGGGATGCAGTAAGGTTTCTCGGACAACAAGGTCTAACTCCAGGTTCACTCTGTTGGTAGAAGAAACATAACCAGGGCTTGCCCTTTATTTTTTTCTGACAGTAGCCCGCCGGGCTAGTAAATTGTGATTTTTACTAGCCTGCAGAGATTTTTACTAACCCATGAAATTTGTGGAAAAAAATTACAATTAAAGCAGGTTTTTTTTGACTTATGAAAGTTGGTCCACCAAGACGTTTCTATCCATTGCTATCACATGGGGTGATAGCTGTTCGTGGGTAGACTGGTTCCCGTTCCCAACTCACTCACCCGGCATGATTGTCCAATGAGGAGCTTACGATCAGTGGTACAACGAAGTAACTTAGGAACCAGATTGCACCAGTCTATGGACGCAGTATCGGTTTTGGGTATTTGGTTCCCAGTACACATTGTATGTTAATTATATTGGTCATGTATAGAGGTCACTGACTACTGGAGAAACTATCGTTGATGCATTGATGATAGGTACCAGGGACAATGTACAAATAGTCCCAGCACACACAGGATTCCAGGTGGAGTCAGAAGCAATGTTGGGGTTTATTTGATTCCAATAAAATAAAGTTACATTCATGACAGACAAAAGGTAAAGCTTTGAAATCAAGACTTTGTTTTATTTTCTTCAATCACATCAGAAAAAAAAGGAACGTGTACAAATTTTAACTCGCCCGCCAAACTGAGGGAAGTGTTTTGACTCGCCCGTGACTGTTTTCACTCGCATTTGGCTAAGGGGGAACCCCGATAACAGAAGTAACTGCCACTCCTGTGAGTGACTGAAAACCTCCCAGGATCTTATCAAACCTATTACGGTCTACCATACTATTACGAGTGTTGTAGTTAAAGACCATCACCAGACATGACACAAGACAGGCAAAAAGTAATAGGCCGAACCACGATGAAGGAATGTTCACTTAGCAGATTGTTTAAGTGGCTTGTGGCTTCACTTCTCACTGGACATCTTGTGGGGTTTGGAGATGGTCTTATGGGGACTCGTGACGATCTTGCTTGATATTGTGATAGTCTTGTGGGTGAGGCAGTGACCTTGGGGTCTCACTTGACTCTGGTCTTGTTTTCACATTGCTTCTGTTACATATTTTTTTCAACTTGCAAGTCAGGTTCTCACCTTGCTGTTGAGCACAGAATGATGTCAACCACTTCAGAATGGTCAAAAGGAAGTAGGGACTCAAGAGATGTTGATCTGTGCCTGATTTCTCTCAAGAGTCGGTGCTGAAAGACATCCCTGATGGATGTGATTATTCCCTGGCAGATAAAAGTGAGAAACATGGTTTGTTTGACAGTCATGCCATGGATTCAGAGGTTTTCATCAGTGACCTAAATACTGGGAATAATGAACACAGAGATTTGCTCAACATGAGAATACTGTAAGCGAGAGGTTCCATGTTCATTGCCTGTGACTAGTTTGCAGCTGAGTTTTTGAATACAGAGTGGGGTTACTGGACAATACGTTTTGGTTCAGAGCTCTGTGACAGTTGGTTCACATTGAGTGTCATTAGTTATTTTCACATGACACACTTTGGCACTGCTGTTGTGGGGACCGCACATAACTTCAACAATAGTTATTGTGAGGGTGTATCTATGTGGGGTCAAAGTTTTGTCCCCAAACCTCGGTCCTGAGTTTCCTAACCAGTGATGTATTTGAGTCCATCACAAGTCCCTGCAAGTCCATCACAAGTCACTCTGTCCTAAGCCAGGCCACAAGCAATTCAAATGAGCTGTGACAAACGCATTCTTTTGTCATTGTTCACCCTGTTACTTATGACTCGCCCCACCAAAAGACTTGTGAAAGAACTTGTGATGGACTCAAATGCAACACTGTTCTTAAACCAAAGAAGGTGTCCTCTCAAAGCAAGGCTGGTTGTAAACACTGCATATTTTGTGCAGTGCAGTGAAGAAGAATCAGTGATAATACTCATGTTTTTGCAAACTGAACAACTCTTTTTTAAAGCTGGATTCTGTCTGGTTGACTGGCACAACTGTTCGACTGTTCTTCCTTTAAGCTACACATGGCCATAAACCCAAGAATGCCTCTAAACCTTCTTTTTTTTGGGGGGGGATGTTGTATCGACCTGGGTAAGTCCACACGTCTCTACTCCCTATGTAGAAAGGACCTTGTTATTCTCATGTCCACACAGGAACAGCAATTTATGCAAATCTTTACCACAAACTCTGTAAGGATGACACTTCAACCTCCCCCAAGAAAAGGAACTACAGGACAGCCATGCAACTAAAATGTTGTAAAATGTCATCTCACCTTCAATGATTCCTTGAAGCCTTCCCTGTTGAGTCTGAGTTTCTCTGTGACCTCTGCAACAACTGCAGCGTGACCTCGGGTCTCAGGGCTGGGTCCTGCCACTACGCAGCCCTCTACAGACGGCGGGCATGGCAGAACAAAGTTTGCCAGCTGTCGACACAGCGGACACTCGTACTCACCCTTGTCTCTGACTTGCAACTGAGGGGTTTGGTAATCCTGTTGCTGAAGTAAGATGAGTTTTAGTCAGTGTTCACATCGTTCAAACCTCAGCAGTGCCTTCAACTACTTTCTGTGCCTCCTCATGAAAACGCGACTCAGCTGGATTTGACACTCACGTAATATCTCATGCTTACGCAGTCTGGCCCACAGAAGTGATCCGGCCAACCGGTTATTTGAGGTAGTATCTTACAAAACAGTGCAAACATATGGTGGCTTAATAGTGAAACAGTGCAATGGAAAGTTGACGCCATTCTAAATAGCTGAAAAAAATCATTAATGTAGGGGCAACTTGGTAGAAATCAAGTAAGTTCTGTGAAAAACCAGAAACGTATGGCAGACCATGGCTTCTGACAGTATGTACTGATGTTACAAATCTACCGTAATTGCTGCATGACCTGTTGGCATGATGGGGGGCACCTCAGGCAACCCAAGACCATTTATTAATTACCACAAATCCCATCATGCCCATCTAAACTGATGACGCCTCCACGGGTGTTAGTGCGACGGAAGTCACTGAATGTGCTGTACGTTTGAACCTGATCAGCTGACCTGAACTGGTTGCCATTTTGGTTGCAATGCATACAGTACGGAAACAAAACATAAAAATAAAAAAACCATGTCATCGAGAATAATTAGTAGACGTAGCGGATACCATGTAACCGACTTTGGCAAATCAAGAGACAAAATCTGAGGTATAACAATAAGGGAATGAAAACGTAATTGGCATTTTAAAAGTGACTAGTTTAAAACTAACTGTCACACTTCTCTTCTGATTCACAAATTATGACAGGTGACCTCTTGTGATGGAACAATTTCGTTCATCACTTTTACACTGTGTCTTGTGAGACGCCCCTTTAGCAATATCTACAGTATGTGTCTCACTGCTCACAGAACTAAAATCCCCTTTTCAAAATTTGATGTGCAAGGCACAAGTTGCACGATGTGGCGTAGAACGCAGCTGAGCTGGGGGTAGAGTGACATTTTGACTGAACGAAATGTGGATTCACTGGTTGCTTTGTGCATGCTCTCACGATCATGACTGTCAACTCCCAGTACCAGGGGATTTAGGTCCATAAACTGGAGTCCAAATTCATAGGAAACTGTTACGAATGTTTATTTTAACATTCAGAATGTAAACAGCATACGGAAAACACTTGATGACACATCTGCATCCAAGCTCATTCAAGCTTTTGTTCTTTCTCGGCTAGATATTTGTAATTCTCTACTGATCAACATTAAATCTTATCAGTTGAACAAACTCCAGCACACTCTAAATGCAGCTGCCCGAATCTTATCAAAGTCAAACGAATTTGACCACATCTCGCCAGTTCTGCAACATCTAAAGTGGTTGTCTGTCCGGGAGTGGGTCAAATTCAAAACTCTCTCGTTAACCTGGAAAATTGTTCATGGATTGGTGTCGAGTTATTTGAGTAGCCTCATTACACCCTATGCACCACAAAGCGACTTGCGCTCATCACACAAGAATCTGCTTGAGATTCCCAGAACACAGACTGCCTATGGAAGTCGGGCCTTTTCATCGGCCGCACCAGTGCTGTGGAACAACCTCCCAAATGATCTCAGAAGATTGGACTCTCTAAAAACATTTAAATCAAACTTGAAAACTCTTCTCTTTAAGGGTTCTTATTTTGGTAGTTACATCAATCTGATTTCACATTCTTTCCTAGTGCCTCGGATTAGTTTTCCAGATAGATGGTGCTTTACAAGTGTTTGTTTATTATTATTGTTTATTATATTATTAAACCAGAATACATTTAAAAGAAGTTGGTAGTTTTATCATCTCTTAAAAACCATCCACAAGAAGGGCTCTCGACCAATAGGAATGGGTACGCTGTCGGAGGGATCTACAAATATCTCCAAGGGCTTCCTTACCCGTAATGATCTGATGTAAGACTCATGACACCTGAGATGAATGTAATGCCTACAACTCTGAATATGGATTCCACCGTGCCAACCGACATTCACTGACATCTGCACTGACGACTGCAAGAAACAGCCAAGAAATGGTGACAAAGACACAAAACTGAAAACAAAGTGTTGCTTACTACATGCATGTGAGGATAACATTTATCTTGAGTCAGGCTGATTGTGGAAACTTTTTTATATGGGACTTGTTCTATTTTGGATATCTTTTATTTATGCTCTCCAACTACTTGTGGTATGATCTAATCTGACTTATTAATGATCACACCTGTACAATCATATGAGCAGCAACAGTTCACTGCAATAAAAGACCCCAAAACTCTGAGGGTTGATCCTGAACCATGAGCACATGACCCCAATTAGTCTTTTAGAAGTATGGCTGACACAATAGGAGGGCGCTATTTGAAGTGGGTAAAGTTGGAGCAAACACAAAAGATTATACCCCAACCAAATAGCGCCCTCCTATGGCCCTCCGCCATACCTCTAAAAGGCCAATACCTCTAAAGGGCTGTGATGCAAAGCACTTCTGAGACTGTGTTCAGTTATCATCCACCTTCTCCCATGACACACTTCAAGCCCGTTATTTTGGACCATCTCACTGCCACGGGGGGTGGGGGAATTGTTGCCCCCCTAAAAAACTAAGCTGCCATTTGCCGAATGTTTTGAAATTTACCTGATTGTAAAGACACTCATGATCAACTCAAAGCTTAAGTCTTGATTGAGTATAATATAAGGCTTTTGATGTGACAGTCCTTTGACGTTAATGATCTCAGATGTGTTGGCCTGGTGCCTTGAGAATGCAATGGAAAAGGTATGGATTTTGGCTAAACAATCTCAGAAAAAGCATGTTGGACAAGAACGGTATGTCTGATTTTCACAAAATTGGCGTCAAAATGACCTTGAGGTGTTAATGAAAAACTCCTCTAGGCTTGGTTGTAAAACAAACCGCAGTGCAATGATATTGAAGAAACTGTGAAGGCTACCCTCCCTCTTCAAAGAAAAGACATCTAAAAGATTTGTATTTTGTGCTAATAACAATCAATAAACAAATATTTCACTAACTGTGTATGGTCTTGGGGAAAGTGGTATCTTATTTCTGGAAAATAACTCATTACCGCTTTTCACGATTGTGAAATGATCTCGGAAAAAGCATGTTGTGCAAGAACAGTAAGTCTGATTTTCACAAAATTGGTTTCAACATGATACTGAAAACTCCTTAAGACTTAGTTTGTGAAAACAAATGCAGTGCAAAGATATTGAAGAAACTGTAGTGTCCCAAACAAACCATTGCGAGTCAATGAGTGTGGGGGCGGGATATCCTATATATAGAACAATAAGTACTATATATAGAACAATAAGTACTATATATAGAACAATAAGTACTATATATAGAACAATAAGCACAGTTTACTATATAACCTGTATTGATGTTACAATGAAAACTTCAGCACTGATACTGTTGAAGTGAGTAATGAATGGACACATACACTTTCTGAGTCTCTGAACACCACTCTCAATAGACGCACACACACCTTGTCAAAGTTGCTCTGCAGATCTGCTTTTCTCTGTTGGTGGACCTCCTTGCATCGTCCTTTGATGCTGACCGCTCCACTGTTGCTCGTTGGTAAGCTCTGGGCCTCCGCAACCTGCGAGCGGTGGCCGAGTACTATGGAAACCCAAAATCAAAAGTGGCAATGCCCTTAGACCTGTGCCAGGTACCTGGGTACCTGTCTGTTGATATAGAAAATTGGTTCTATTTTTATGGGGCTGCTACCTGTAAAAAAAATTCCACATGTAAAATATATGGGAACTTTGATAGTGAAGGGCAGAATTGCTGAAAAATCATCCTGCCACTGGAACACCTAGTCCTGTGGTCATAACTACAGTTCAGAGATTGACAGAGCTACTCTTTTTAGGAATTAAAGGTAACACATCATTTAATAAAAAGGGGGGGTCGGGATTTCCCTCTAATGTTTAAAACAATGTGCTAATTCCTACGTATTGAAAGAAAAAGAGCCCTGTTTTGGGCACATGGTCTGCCAGGATTGCAAGTAATGCCATCTAGATCTGGCTCTCCATCAGTGATCCCAAAACTGCTTGGCTCTTTGCTTTAGGCAAACTCTGGCGTCCGTAAACCAACGTCAAATCACTAATTGTGATCCAGATTCTTGTGAAACAAACAGGCCTGAATTTGCACGGCATACACCCTTTGCAGCAAATTTAAGGATTATGACGAAGCCGTGTCGAAACAGCTTACCACTGGTTGCTTGCAGAAGTGCCACCATGCCAATCGGTTTGTCGGCTGTGGAGGGCGCTGCTTGGCCGCATATGACACATTCAAATATTTCCCTAGCAGAGGCTTTGTCAGCTCCTGTAGCCTGCCCTTCCTCATCAGCATCGAGTGATATATCCAAGGGATCCTCTAAAAATGGAAAAGATGCCATGTATAAACACTGATTCAAATGGAAACAGGTAAATGACTGAATAATGCATACAGTGTATGGCACAGACATTTTGTTAGGGGCTTTTTCAATTGCTATAGCCCAACACTGCTCATCAAGAATGAGTAATTATATTCTATGGATCTTCTGAAAATACAAATGATAGGTGTATGGATGACTTGATTGGAAACAGCCACTATGGCTACGTGACACTTCCAAGGGATCTTCTTAACACATAACACAATGGTCTATTTGTGTACTGAGTAGTCTCAAACCAAAAGGAAAATGACTAGGATAAGAATATCCCTTTAGGTCATACCACATCGGGATCTTTAACACATGTAATTGAGGAAACCAAATCTTTGCTTCACTGATTGAAAGCAGGCTAACGACTTCAACAAATCACTCTGAGCAACAGTTAGATAATTGCAAACAATCAATCAATTCTTTTTAAAAAGTTCTTCAGCTTAGTATCGCATTACAGCACTCAAGGGAAAAACTCACTTGCACCTTATGTAACAAAAATGTCAAACTTGTTAGCCCAAAGGATTGAATACAAACATGTAACACTAACAAATGCAATTTGCATGGAATAATTGCTGATCTAGTCCACAGTCATATAAGTTAAGGATCCATGACATTTGATAGAGTGCAATATGAAATAAAGAAGATCAATTCTATACTGCCTAGAAATACAGACCTGTTTCCAAGGATTTCTCGATGAATTTTTTCTGTTCTGCGGCTAGCTTGGCAAACAGTTTTTGCTGCGCCTCCCGTGCTTTCTTCCGCCTGGTTTCCAAAGATAAGATTTGTTTCCTACGTCATTCTCATGGATCAGATTCAGGATTCAGTTTGGAGCATTCGGTGCCTGAAGGCCACCCTCTCCAGTTCAAAACAGGTACCAATGCTGCAGAAATAGCTTTTCCATGCGAGGCTACTTTTTTGGACAAATTTCTTTTGGCTCCAACAGTTAACAATAGACCTTATTCAAAAGGAAGCCATTTTGAATATTAAACTGTAAACTGACGATGGCATCAGACTATTTTTATATGACTCTCCCTCTTTCATTATTTTCCCAAATCTGGCTTGAAACACTAATGTATGTTTGATCTCCAAATTCAAAAAATTCATCTCAATGGACAGGTCCTAATTTGTCATGAAATTTCATTTTATTGTTTCATTTCGACTCTCAAATTCCAAAACTGAAGAGTGAACCTTGCTTTCAATTTCAATATGGCTGACCTAAGAATAAAGTCCATTGCTGAAAAGTGTGATTTGGGATCGGCTGTTTAACCCCTCTGAGGTACATTGTACCCTTAGCAAAATGTGGTGCAATGTCTAGCAACTGCAGCCCTGGGCAGAGACGGTTGTCATTCCCAGTCCGAAGCATGGGACCAGGCTCTACTACTGTATGCGAGGTGCAGTGAAATTACAGAGCTGAGCCGTGTAACATGACTTCACCAACAAAATTACAGCATCCAAGCACATGGTATAACAGTGAAAGTATGCAAACTGATTCCGCGGCCTGAGCTGAAGAAAAACCCCAGAAACCAAAGCTGAGCTTTTTAAAATGACCCTAGTGCTAGTCATATACATGTATCTAATAATACAGACATTGATGGCGCTGTGTCCGCCAAGAGAAACATTCTGTGTAAAGCAGGGTGCTCTGATACATCTGACCAGTCCTTGAATTTTTTAGCAAGAGAAACATATTCGCTACCTGTCGGCAGCTGTGCTCTGTGCGTCAGTTTCCTGTGTTCCTGATGTAGGTTGCTGCTTCAGTTGACATATCTCTTCCAATTGTTTCAGACTCGCTGGATGCAAGGCACAGATCTTGTCCAGTAGACGCTTGATGTAGAACATGCCACCACCAACCTGCGGTACACCAAACAAATTTAGGACTGTAAAGAGATCTGTTGTTAAAGTTCCCCAGTTACGTCAAACACCTCGGGAACACTTTTCGTGGCGAGGGGCATGGGAGTTATAGTGCTGAACCATGCAGAGCTTTCAGCTGTAACCAGATGCCTGTCTTGCACAGGTCTTGACACTAATTTTTTAACATCCAATGCCATCATTTTGCATTTTTCAGACTATAAAGTTCCATGACCTGCCCGTGTCTTTTCAATGGCCGAATGATTAAAACCCAAGACATAATTCATCATAACGCACAATGAAACCGTGGAAAGTGTTCTGTGAAATGTACTCAACAAAGGACCACATGACGCCTATTTACGTGAAATTTGTCGGGATTGGTTGGTTATAAAAATCAGACTACTGATGGTAAATTGAGAATACACAAGCTTCGTTGAAACTTTACAGTTCTGTGACTGTACGGACACATCTGTTCTACACTTACTCGTATTCCTATTCATTTGCATTATCATCCTAAATTATTTACTAAGAATTCTTTTATTAAAAATTGTGGGGAATAAAGTGCAATGGAACAGTTCTATACTGCTACAGATTATCTGGTGACAATCCGCCCTGAGCAGAAGCACCCCGTCATCTGTTGAAAAGAGCCATGTTGGTCGGGAGTGTTCATTTTTTTGGTAACGGTGCGACTGCAACGCTTGCGTTTCACAGTCGTTAGTGAACCAGCGGTAAGTAGTTACTACAAAAGAAACCTCCGCTGCTGCGAAAACTGTGCCCTCTCTTGGTCCAGCTTGGAGCCCACACTGGACCACGCTGAAAGCTAGGCCCATCATTGGTGTTGGGCCCCTAGCCAATTTTAAACATCATAAACCATGTGATCACACGTTCCTCCTCCTAGTCATACTTTTTTCATTAACAGGCAAATCAAAATCGACCCCTCATATTCATTCCATGACTTCCTTTATCAGTTCACTTTGCTATTTTGTACAATACCTTTCTTGAATGCACATTACTAAAAATCTCCTAATGATATGGAAAAGGCTTTGCTGTGTAGAACGCAATAATGCTGGTGCATTTGGTCGTTTTATAAATTTGTGTGTCCCTGTTAAACCTGACCCTTGTCATTTGACGCGGAAATATTACTGAAATTGATTTCAAACTATTTAGATTTGTTTGGCAGATAATTTGCATTAATTCATCACCCTTTGAAATTACAAAATACGTTCTGCACTTACAAAATTGTTGGTCAGGTGTGACAGGGCCACACAAAAAATTGGAGCCCTAATTTATAGAATGACTCTATTGTGAAATTTCCACTGCATGGAAAACCGGCTCCCTGGTTGTATTGCGCATGCCAGCAGGCTGAGAGTGACTTTCAAATACAAGCATTAGATCATAGCATACATGGATCAATATTCTATATGAGACTAGGATATTGTTTAGATTTATCATCTGGTAAAAACCACCCACATGATCTGCACTCGATCAAAAGGCATGGGTAAACCCTCTGATGTATTAATGCATATTACACATTCACCTGAACACCACCAGGCTCTGTCTTGCTCTCCGTTCCTGTCCTCATGGAAGGTGGTGTATAGAAGCCTTCCTTGCCTGCCATCTTGGCGTGTAGTTTGACCAGCAACTCCAGCATGCTCTCCTTGATGGTCAGTAGCTTGCTGGGGGTCCACAGGACCGTGCTGACCTTGGCTGCCTTCCTGGGTGGGCCGGCTGAGGCCAACAACTCACCCGAGCTCCGGCCAGACGAAGACTGATTCAAAGCAGAAAGTGAACTGATATGACTGACTTGTTTGTATTTGAAAAAAAATTGTCATCATGGTGTAAGATTCTGTCCCATATACATGATTGAGGTGGTTCATTTGGACTTAATTGTCCTAATCCTTCTGGCTCCCTAGTCATGTACAGTGCCCGCTACTGACCAACACTAATGTACACACTGCACTGTATTTTTTCCATTACTTTAATTTAACAGTATTTTACTGCATGTTTAAAATGCACAAGTTCATCATAATCATATCTCTGTGGATAATTTCACTCAGCTAGAGTAAAATATTTTAGTTTAAAAGAGATTCAACCACACCATACACCTACATGAAAATACACTTCCAATGACAGAGATGGATATGACTAATGTGTGAATGCTACTATGACCTATGCCTGGTGCCCATGAATACACAGACACCAGGGTTTATGCACATTCTGATGAAAAGTTGGGCCTGTTTCTCCAGGTCACATTGTTCAGTAATCAGTGAGCCCAGTCTGTTCCTTACAGCCTTGAATAAGCCACAAAGCCCATTCCATTCAAATTGTACCTGCCATCAGCCACGGCATCTGCACCATGAGATTCCAACCCATTCCAAACCCCTTTGGTCAGGTCCCCTTTCTTTCCCCTCCAACCCGTCTCCTCTCCTCACTCCCCCTGTTCAGTCCTACTGACGTACCTCGGTGGCTGTAGCTCCCGCACTTGTGGGTGTGTCCACATCAAACTCCTCCCCTTCCTCAACTTCCATTTCCTCCGCCTCTTCGTCATCCTGCAGCTCCACCCAATCCTCTTCATCTGCCCCCTCAAGCTCCACGTAGACCTCCTCCCCTTCCTCCATCCCTCCTTGGTCTCCGGTTGCTTGGAGGACAGGTGGCATGCCAAACAGGTTCTGGTGAACGATACCGACCTCCTCCTCCAGCAGTTGTTGCAGGAGTTGGTCGGTGCTGTGAACTGTCCTCTTTGGAATGCAGGACAACCAAAAATCTCTTGTTAGCAGTTGCCACTTTTGGTCCTGCTTAAACTCGTGACTAACCATGCTAGAGCGGCCATTTTAACTTGTTTATTGGGCTGTGATGTCGGGCGTCTGCACTGCCACACCTACTTTACATGTTTACATGACATTCCATTTGGCATGAGACATTTCATTTTTTACCTGTCTGGACGTGGAAGGTTTTTCATACATGGCCCTGCTAGGGATCTCCACGGTGTGGATGCGATGACCCAAGTTGCTTAGAATCTGGTTGTCTGAAAACATGGCTGAGAAGTCGCCGTCCTGAATGACTGCTGGTGCAGGAGTCTGGGGCACAGACCATAAAATGCTTAACAAAAGATGTACAGCGGTTTCACTGGATGGGTGTATCCCTCAGTTTGGGGCACGTTTCGTGACATTTCAGTCCATTTGTAGATGAGGTAGAAGGGGTCCCTGACTATATGTATTGTTAAAGTAACTACATGTAAACAAGAGTGTAATATAGGTGATACGCTGGCAAACAGTATCAATGTATATGTGCCTTTGTTAATTGGCAACCAATTCAATTTGCCAATTTGATACACACAGCAAATGAAGCTAAGCTTTAATGTGGAAATCTTTGGCTTTAGTACAATTTTCTATCTGTTGAAACTGTTTTAAGTCGCAGCAGATAGAACTCTATTCAGACACTGAAAATTACACAAACTTTCACACCATTTTAAAAGCTTGCTCCTGATTCAAGGATCTGCCTCCCTTGGCCAAGAACCTTTCTACCTTTTGTGCAATGACGTCGGGTGGAGACTGCAGCATCATATCTAGTAGAGCAATGCACAGGTACAGAACAGGCTCACTGACTGACTGGCTATTCACAGCCTGGACAAAAAGACATAAACAATGGGGTGCAGCGAAGAACAAGAATTGAAAGATTAATTGTTTCCTTCACAGGCTGTTTTGGAATTATTGGGCTGTGGTAGACAATATTAAGTGTTCCAATGGAGGCTGTCTGCTTGTAGTCGTGTCAATACTCCATGGGCAATAAAAGTGTTACTACCAGCCATCTAGCTAACTACTGCACATGCGGTCAGTGACTGCAACTGCTGGATGGCCTGGTCTGGGACCCAGACTCCGACCCCATTTTAGAATGACTGAGACTAGACTCAGGCTTAATCCCATCATTACAAGTGCACCAGTATCTCAGGCCTGGTCAAAAACAGGCTCCCTCAGCAGCAGCCATGCCTACTGTCTGCGGGTGCCAACTAATTTACAACTGGTGAACAGTAGACACAAGGGTGGTTTTTTTCATATGCAGCAAGGTATGAGACGGAGAGAAACCCCTCCTGCTTTGTATTGGTCATTGTCTCGCAGGAATCTGGGGAATTCCTTTCAGACATCTTGGGGGGGAACGTGTTAAGTAACATTAGTCTGGAATGTGTATAGGGATTGGACATGTTGGGGGGGTACCCCTCGGTCTCATTTCTTGCTGGGTATAGGTTTTTTGGTACTCGGCCTTGTCTCAGGCTTTGTCTCTAAAATCGACCACCGAACATACGTCCACAGTGATCAAGCGAAATAGAAATATCTTTGTTGAGGTGAGACATTCTGACTGAAACTATTGAGCTGGTAACTTCACAATCAGGGGGTTAAAATCAGACAAAGCCTGGGATGTTGACAAAGCTGAGTATTGGGAAATCTGAAAGACTTGAACATGGCCTTACTCAAAAACAAAATCAAGAAATAACTTGCACACTATTGTCCCTATGACCTCTGACATGGGTCAACTAATGAGCATAATCACAGCCATTCAAAAAGGAATTCTCCATGTATGTAAATGAGATAATGGGTGATTCAATCTACTGGCATTAATGACATTTACATGTGTATTTATGAACCACTTCTTAAGATAACATGGCCACTATTTGCTATTTTGTTTTCTCCTTTAAAGTTGACAGTTTAATTTCTGAGTCTTTAATGCGACATATTGAGCAAGGTACCTTGTAGAGAATAATGAATAAAGCACCATGGAGAGCTTTGCAGTGGAGCACCTGATGTAGATTTTTAAGAGCAGGGTGTGGATCCCTCAGCAGCTGGAACGGAGGCCACAAGTCACTGTTCCCAGAATGCCTGCCTGTTTGCTTCATGCTGGGAACAAAATCAAGCCCACAATTTTGGAAATAGACCTATAACATAATACAGTCCTGGTTTGTTCGTATGTATGCTTCCTTATTTCAGTCAGGTGGTCTATGGTCCATCAAGCCCTCAATAGGAAAGTGCAAGTTTGTAAGCGAAGTGTGACAGCGTTGTGTTTCAGGTCTATATATACCATGTAGACATGCATTCTGTGTCACAATGCTCCTTCAGTGGAGACCAAACACACTACTGTAAGTATGCATTTATAAGCTGTCAACTCAAAGATGATACATATTTGTGCGCATTCAGGTGAAAAGTAGCAGCGGTACATGTACTAGTACATGTGCAGAATTATATGAGGACTACACGTGTTGAAATTAACATGTTGTGAGGACCAAAAACTTATGAGGACAAATATTTGTCCCAACTAGGTTCCAGCTTTCCTAACACAAGAAAATGAACAGAAAGCCTGCCCATGCATATTTGTTCTGCAGTTGAGAGGTAAATGTACAAAGTTACCGCGGGGACAAAAAATGTGACACGGACAAACCACTCCCCCAAAATTATGTCCACATTTTCCTTTGATACCAAGCAGATGATTCATTCACATTCCTGGCGTAACCTTGTTAAGTTGAATAATCATGAGCCTTGATGGATCAAAATTAGTTGGTAACATTGTTCATTTCTGATTTGCTTGCCACAACTTCTGGATCCCTTCCCTAAAATAATTTGCCACAATTTTTTGTGCAAGTCCAGTATTCAAGCAGTCCATAACATTCAGAGAAATGTCATACACTACTCATAACAAGTTGAGGACCACTTTTTACTTTGTGTATACTTTTTATGATATGAAATATTTTGCTGCTGATGATGTGCATTTCATGTTTTGAAACATTTTTCAAATCTTTCATTCCAATGAGAACACCATCTAGACAAACAAAAAATGAAAGAACTACACCCCACTCACTGCTTGAAAAAAAATTACCAGTTAACAAAAAAGTGGTCTTAACCTTTTTTGAGTAATGTAATTTGTTGCAAAACTTTCACAATAAAATGTAGCCTAAGGGAAGTCGTAGTTTTGTGAAATCCGGTACTGGCCACAAAACTCCATCTATGCTAGTTCCTGTACATGACACGGTCCCATACTCACTGCGCATTGTATCGATCCATGGCATTCTGGAAGTCCTTTTTCTGCATGGCTCTCAGCAGGACATGGACCGGGTCAAATTCCGTCTCCCAGATGCTGGGTTTGGGTGAATAGCGTCCTTGCTGTAGTCCCCCACTGCCCGTCTCTGACAAAGGGTCGTGGTAAGTCGCAACCTGCTCAAAGAAAACAAAACAGACTTTAAAATACTTTCCCTTTTCAGCGAGATTTTGAAGTGAAAAAAAAAACCAAGAGATAGGGGTTTCAGGGCTTTCAATGATCGCAGTTTTGTAATTGATGAAACTACCCTGTGTAACAAAAACCATAATAAATAAAATGAAATGGTGAATGCTTTATAAGTTAGGTCTACCAGTCCTGTGATTGGCTAAGAGTTATCTCACAGGGTAAAGTTTTATTTCCACTAGTCAGGTTTACCACAATTGCTTTCTTAGTTGCAAACTGTTCCCACAACCAGCGAGATTAAAATTCGAACCTTTCTTCATCAACATTGTAAATCTGACGGACATTTGTCTATCAATTTCTTCTTGATCAATTTAAAATGTTCTGTCCAATGGAAAGAATTACTGCCCTATTTCAATGGGCGACATTGTCAATGCAAAGTCCAAAACACATTTTACACTTGTAAATAAGCAAGGGGGCTGTAGTGTGCAGAGGTCAAAATGAACTTCAATCTCTTGGTAATGAGAAAATATTGGTAAGTTAGAAAAACCCATTTAATAGATTAAAAAGAAAAAAAAAAGGACTCAGAAAAAACAAATCCTGTCTTTCATGTCATCACAAAAAAACAGTTCTATTTCAGGTTACGTAACCAATCCTAAATTTTTGGCACAACCGTAAAATTTATATTGGTAAGTTAGAGAAACCCATTTAAAAATTAAAAAAAAGAGAAAAAAAAGAACTCAGAAAAAACAAATCCTGTCTTTCCTGTCGTCACAAAACACCTCTAAACAATTTTTTCACATCTAAAAGCTTGTATTTTATTTGCCTGATTACATTTGCCACATTTGGAAAGTCTTGTTATTTTCAAAAGTTCCTTTTGTATTTTTCTATCACAGTGGTGAAAACACGCACGCAATACTGCTCCATGCACAGAAGCAAGGCTTCACTGGTTCCCGTTTGCCATGCCACTGCCAGGAACAATGGTAATGCAACTACCAGTCCATGCATCACGGTCAAAATAGCATTGTACAACTCACTGTACACTCCTGCGACTCTACAGCTGCACATGGAAAAAAAATGATGTTGCAGGAAGATTTCTACAAGTTAATTCCCAGAACTTAATCTGTTGTCTATATATGTATTCTTTTAGTTCAAGGTTGTATTGCTCATACTTAATGATCAAACTCGACACGACACAACCTCTAAAACTTTCATTGGTGTCTGAGGGAGATAACCATAAACTGGCATTGTTAGAAAATGATACTAGCCAACATACTGGGGTATGCGCCTGCCGCACGTGTATGAGCTGTATGCACAACTGTGCAGTGCACAGAATGTCGTGCCGCTACGTCTGCGTGTAGCACACGAGCCCGGCTGCGCGCACTGTCTGTGGAATTATATCGTGATCTCGAAACTTGCTGAGCCGGTGATTTTAAACATGAGTCATAAGTAGCAATGTTCCTCAAATGACCACTGTCCTGCCGGGCCATCGTTTTGGGAGAAAGCAGAGGCCAGATAAATGTTTTGGTGGCCCCGGGCCAGCAGACCACCATTAATTTCGACCCCCGGTGTGAATGAAACAAAAGAACACTTGACATTCTTAAAAAGTTGTTATTCCCCAGGAATTAAAATGGACACTGATTTTTACCTCAAAACATGTGAACAGGTTGTATAATGCTCAAGACATAGCGAAAACGGAAAAATCATCAGGATTGTTGCAAACATGACTTTAACATACTGGCCCCCTTTGCTGCGTTTTGGTGTATGCAAATACAAACACCAGACAATTAGAGACCTGTCACAAGTTCCACATATACCTAGACAAAATAATGCATACTTACTTCAGCAAGCAGTGGCTCAAAGTTCTCATTGGTGCTGAACAATCCAGTCTTCTCTGGAATGTAGATTTGGAAGTTAAGAAATCTTCACAAGACAATCTTAAACGTAATGCTCTATTGCAAATGTATATATAGACAGTATGACAGTTGTCTTCAAACAATCAAGAGACACTCTACTGAAAAAAATTGGAACATTTTCAGTATAAAGCTTTCATAATCTTTACAAACAGTAGCTCTTAGATGCACTATCTAAGAATTCAATAAACCTGACTGTGAATGGAATGAATGGAACTGCGGAATTAAAATGCATTTTTCACTCAATTGTATCAATTCAGGTTTTGCTTTGACCAGATGAACAACACTTATGTTTGTTTTTATCTGACTATGGTCCTGGGTTCCACTCCCGGCCCAGGCCACATGTAAATGGAATTGTTCATTGTTTCTCTACTGTGAACAATGTTTTGCCCCAGGATCTCTGGGCAGAGTTGGGTCGTTTGGTGGCTGACTGAGATGCCTTTGTTTGTCTTAGACTTGACCATGTTGTAGCCACGTATGTTAGGTCCCAAAAGACTGTGCATGCATTTAGTTTGTGTATTCATGCATGCGCAATAGTGACAGAATGGTCGTCGGCTTGAAAAATATTCTAGCAGACGATGCATATAGGAGGTGACCCGTGTGAGGGATTTGTCCTGCCATTTCCATTGAAGACCTCGTGTGTGAATAAATTGCCAAGAGTCTATCAAATGGTGATATTTAATAGCTTCCGGTAAGAAAGATTGCCGGAAAATAATCAAAGAAAGTGGAAAATATCAATTTTACGACAAAGTATAATTATAAAAAATTATCGTTTTTTTACCTAGCTTTGTGTCTCATTTTCAAAATTTTGCCAAATTTACCTTCAAATAACTTTAATGTCACATGAAAGACTCTCATGTACAGAAAAGGTTATTACTGCTAGGAAGAAACCATTTTTTTAGAAATTCATTTCGTTTTTCATTGGGACCCATTTTTGTCTTTTTCTGTGTTTTTCACCTTACTTGGTGAATAAATATAAATGAATAAATTATTAACTTGTAAGCCCAACCTAAAGCAGCAAATTTAAATCAGCATTACAAAGAAAATGCGTACAGTTCAGTATTGCCCGGCCAAAAAACACTTTTGGGGTTTGGTTTGAGCATCAAATCCCTTTGAACATTCAATAATATCAAATTTATGGCAATATCACCTCTTCCATACAACTGTGAAAATTGACTCTTTAGGATATTTGATCTGTGAGCCGGCTATGAGTTGCATCATGCATGCAGAGTAGGGCAACCATCTCCCGGCGAAGTAATTCCTCATCGGTGGCTCCTAAAATAACGGAACGTGAAAAGTTGGTCGTTAAATGAGGAAAGTTTATCTTTCATGTTTTTGAAATCTAGATCACTTGCAAAATGACTGTATTTTGGAAACTGAAAATGAAAATTGCACCTATACTTAATTACACTCAAAACGTCAATTTTTGGGGGAAACCATCTCACAGCCGGGGGAGGGGGGAATCCCACCAGCCCCATGAACTTGGCTGTCTCATGCTTGTTTTTGGTTTCAAACTTCGCATGCATGTATAGCTTATCATCAGTACAACTGAGAAGTTTCCATTCAATCTGACATACAGTTTTGTTGTTACGGTCATTTTGAAGTCCAAGGCCAAACTTATGTCAGCCTGTGTGCATTGAGCAGTCCATGGAAAAGACAAATTTGACGAGACAGTGTTCATAACTGGGTCTTGCTCATGCTGAATACATGTAGCTTTACACATGGCCCATGTACAATGCCATGTGCCTTGCTGTTTTTCACTTGGCCACCTACCCACATGGGTTCTGGTGCTGAGAAGCGTCACCAGTAAGCTGAGGGCGCTCTCCAACATGGCCGACTCCTTGTCTGGTTCCAGGTGACTGTTGCTGTGATAGAGGTTGAATGTCAGAGTCTCCAGCACCTTGAAGCTGAAAAAAGGAATACACGTAAGTGATAAAAAAAAGCAAGCTGGTATCAGTCACATTTCACAGGCCTGTCGGAAAGCACTGCATTGGAATGTGGAAATATGTTTGAGCTGCCAAAAATAAAGTCACCTAGTATTCTACAAAAGAATTCTGCAAATCTGTGAAAAAGTAATGCTCTTCAAAGACAACAGTAGAATAATTAAAAAGTTTACTTCAGACATTCAAGATAAGACTATGAACAAGCACACTATAATTCATGTCTTGATGACACACTTTTCTGTGTGAGATGTTCTGAGCGAACCAAGATGAGTATTTCAAAATGCATGTGAACACTTACCAATGGCATAGTTGTGAGTAACCCGCCTAAATTCATTCAAGGTCATGTTTAATACACATGCATGCACACGAGTCAAACAACAGTATTAGGTTTTGATTTCATTTTCTTCAGGGGATCACTGTACAAGAAATATAGAGAGGCGGCAAGTTTGGTCTAAAACCCTTTCCCACGGTGCATTTTAATTACAGGAGAACTTCATGTACAGTAAGCCCACTTCACAGGACACCGCATACTGCCCAAAATGTGCTCTGCCCCTATTCAGAACCATACATACTCGCAAAAGAGAAATTTTAAATTGTGCTGACGTAAACCTACTACTTATCAGGTTATTTCACTTATTTCTGGTAGTCATAGCTGCTACCATTGCCCTTTGTCTGTTGCACTATCTTCTGAAACCATTGTTAACTTCTAACCACAATGAAATTCCACTCACCTTGAAAATACTTTTTGAACAAAGAAGTCTGGATCCAGGTGGCATGCACAAACCTAGCAGGAGAAAATGGCAAACTAAACAATATGTGTTCCAGTACAACACGAGTGGGGAGCTTCACTCACACTTCTGTTATTGTAAAGAGGAACAACAGAATTGACCAGTGCAGGGTTCGAACCTACAACCTGTTACACCATGATGATACCCTACCATGTGAGCTAGCCAGCCATACATGAGTGGTTCCTTCCAGTTTGTCAGTATCTTGTGCACTAGTACCCTGGGTACCAGTCAGAGGCCACAAATATGTATAACCAGGGGCCAATTTCATAGAGCTGCTTAAGCACAAAATTCGCTTAAGCGTGATAAAACCTTGCTGGACAAATCAGGTTACCAGCCAAAACTCCATGTAATGTATATTGGTTTGGAATGGTATTCACCTGTCTTTTGGTTAGAGTGACAATCACACAGATTTTGAGCTGATAATCTTTTGCTTTTTAAGCAAGGTTTTTTGTGCTTAAGCAAATTTTGTGCTTAAGCAGCTCTATGAAATTGACCCCTGGGATTACCCCATACTCATAATGTCACATTTCAAATGCATGACCCAGAAAAATGACAACTTGGCCTTATCTAAATGAGCATATCAATTTGTTCAATCTCTTTGTTTTCTAATGAAGTACACAACTGAAAACTTTATGGAAGACCTCTTTGTAACAGCAAACTTCACTTTAAACTTGGTATTGGTATTAAACTTGGTTTTATACCAAGGGGAACTTTATTTGTACTACGACAATCACTATGTTCACACACAAATACCCCACATCAGTGAAAAAAAAATGCAGAATCATAACAGACATTCCACCAAACAATGGACGATTTTTAAAAATCATGCGAGACACGATGCCACAGTATGTTTACATGAGCGCATTCCTACTGAAACCATAGTGAGACGAGATCTGTATGTCTTAGGTCTATGGTGCTTCTGATTACTTTAACACCGAAAGAATCCTGACAGGCTGACTGTCAGAAGTCGGAAGAGGGAAAAAAGAAGGTATTACCTGGAGAAAGAACAGATCTAAGTCGACCATTGAGGCACAGAAGTGACACTGCACATAAGTAAACGCTTGCCGCCTGATTTGAAAACCGTTGCGCACCCACAAACCGCAGGATATTTCACCAACCAAAGCCTGAGGATACAACAAAAAAACGCTGGGTTTGTTCTTTTCCAATGATACGCACTCACAACATGGCAAAATGCTTTATTGGTGGTGCATTTTTCATAGTATCAATGTACAAAAGTGGCTTTATGTCATGAATTTATGTTAATGTTGATGTTAAAAAGCCTTGGAAAATGAGGTCTTTTCCATTATATAAAAAGTCCATAAAAATATTATATAATATATAAAATGTCCATTATATTCAAAGGTCTAGGTAGAATTGCAGCATGGCGGTTATTGTGTAGGTAAAAGTGTCCTTACACATGGAATTTACTAAGAAACTGTTGTACGTGCATCTGATGTGCTTCCAAAATAACATATCATTACATTAAGAACTTTGGCATAAGTCTCCTCAAAGTATTTTGCATTCTGTGTAATTCTGCAGATTTAGAACTGAGTGAATTGAAAATATTACACTCTGTCTTTCCTCTTGAGGCTATTTCAAAACAAAGCAATCAATGCCACAAAATAGACGGAGCATACTTTTAAGTTAACCTATTGGTCCCAATCTATTTCAATATTACTTAAAAGGAACAACATGCTAATGAGGAAACTGCAGCATTTCACCTGAATCTGTAAAGGAAAATTCATCAATTGTTTTAAGAACTCTTTTGATGGATTGATGTCCATTCCTTGTTTTGTGATTGCCTGTGGTAAAAAATAAAGATGAAAGAGGAATTTGGTTATTGGCCCAACACAACTTTTGCATTTCACACAATGTCTAGCACTAAAGAAAAACATAAGTCTTTAAATCCGACCATAATCCAAACTAATATCTCAAACTTCAGGTCTGTCAAAAACCTTTTTGCTCCAAGAACATGCGGTGTGAGCCTGCAAAAGCACCATCACTAATTTTCCATGAGGTTTACATTGATGGCCACTTTACTTCCTTACTGCAAGAAAGTTTGCGAGGCACCTTGTCTGGTCCTTGTGATAAATTGGGCTTTAAATACAGGCAACACAGTGATCCACTATTTATATAGTAGCCCTCTCATCAGTCACCGACAGCCCAAGTAACAGGGGGTGACTGATTGGTGATAGACTTACGTCAATTTTTGACTCTTGAGAGAGAGATTTTATAAGAAAATGGATCTAGTTAGCTGGCTGGATAATTTATCAGTTTGTACTGTGATTCTATATGAAAATCGATATTCAATATGCACGCACATTGTAGGGATATCTTACTCGTACACACCAGTGCGAAACATGCAGTAAAGTTTGGATTCTCAGTTGTTCCTTAAGTTCATTACATCATGCACAATTGAGTTGAGAGGACAAATTTCTAAATGTGTATTTGTTATTTGCTTTCACTTCAAAACAAAAATAGCTGTGCATATGACATCTTGGTACTCAGCAGCTCAGCGACCATTCCTTTCATGTGGCATGGAACCATTGAAAAACTGTGAAGTACAATCCCTGTACTGGACGCTGCTGTTTTGGATTCCAACTTCCAGTGGCGACTAAAAGTATGCACATGAAACTATGGAATGACCAATCATGGTTGCAGATAACCAAAAGTATGCATACTTGTAACTGAATGCAGCAACTCTCTAATTACATGGTGAGCAGACGTACAGCCTCTAGAGGCTAAGGTACATGTACATACCTGGCTGAGGAAGAGAGCATAGTAGCGCAACAGTGGGATATGGAAGGACACTTGGTAAGGGTCTAGAGACTTGGAAACATCTGCCGCTTCAAGCCAGTCTGTTATGGTCTCTGAACATGCATTCAGAAGAGCTTGGGTAAAGTGAGCTGTGCTCTGCAGGGGAGAGACAAGAACGCTTGTACACCGGACACCGTTTCTATTTGTCTTCTGTTGCTGGACAGACCAAAGTCCTGGCCTTAATCATTTATCACATTAACACGTTATGGGCAAATAGTCCCTTTTTGAATGTTTTACTTTTTGTTCCCTTCATGGGATAGGATGGGCATGGGGTAAACCTCCAGTACATACAAGCAGGTCTCTGATGGTGGTTCCGGTGCATTATGCTTTCTTGATTTAACTTGGGAGACACAAAACTTCGAAGAGGGAAACCTTTTATTTCATGAATCGTAACCAATTTCTTCCTTTTTGCACCCTTTATAAATAAAATTCCCATCACAGCGCACTAAATATAGCAAATACTGAAGATCATTTGTGACCATGTGAGCAAACAATGATGGCAATACGAAAGAACCCAAGATGGCCCAACTTTGTCGATATTTGGTGGCGGAAATAATGGAAAATATATCTATCATCGGGTAGTACTTTCCTTAAGTCACACTCTGGAAGCAAAACTCTGAAACCCTGAAAAGGTGTCACTGAGTATACTGCCTCTTGTTATTTGCCACACATCTTATCTCCAACCATGCAACCTACCCCCATAGGCAAAGCACTCACCTCATCTTTGCAATGGACGTAGAGCTGCCACATGGGTGCAGCACAGGCCTCTATCTCTGCTGAGAACGCTATGGAGTAGGCGTGGGGCTCAAACTCAACATGGTTGTGAAGCTCTCTCTCGTTCAGATTCATACCTTCATAGAATCAAAAATACAGATACTATTACTGCGACTGGTCTTGTGACAGTTCTTGAGTCTGGTCTTGTGACTGGTCTTATGAATGGACTTGGAAATGGTTATGTTTTGTCTTGTGATCATGCTTGTGCCTGGTTTTGTGTCTTGGTCTTGTGTTTGATCTGGTGACTAGATTTGTGTCTGATCTTGTGTCTGGCTTTGTAAATTGCCTTGTCTCTAACCTCGTAAATAGTCTTGTGTCTGGTTTTGTGAATGGGCTACTGTTTTAAGTCCGCATTTTCAGCCGAAAATTGTCCCACGCCTGGCACAAGTGTATTGCAGAAAAAACCTGTCTGTAAAGTGGTCAACAGGTGAAAAAAGTTCTGATGGCAGTTCAGCTCAGTAGAGGCTGAATGGAAGACATGGTACTCACACATAAACATAGCCAGTATGTTGGTCCACATCTTGACCAGGCTGGGGTCGGTGAAGAACTTGTTGGCCACCGAACGATGGGAGAGGATGTTGGAGAAATCGCTGATGACCGGCCAATAGCAATGCTGCTGCATCACCTGATGGTCACAACTGACCACCTGACAAGTCCTGTGATTACCAGGAGAACCTGTACAGAAAAACAAAACACATTCTCAAAATGCTCTCAAATGAAGAACTTTCCTACTGGAAAAGGGCTGTTCTAGAGTAAAGCATGCACAGGTATTGAGCCCCATTTCCATGTGGAAAGATGCATTGTTCCTTGCATGAAAAGCAGGTGTTCCTGATTGGAATAGTCAATGTTCTCAGGGATATTCAAAGGTGTTCCCCCTTTTGAAACTCTTCCTAAGAGCAATGGTTCATTTAATGGTAACAGGAAACCTTGAGGCCAATGTGTACATGTTGAGTATACACTGATTAATGTACACTGAATTGACTTACCATTAATTGCAGTATAGTTTCAGTCACTTCTCCTTTATACCTTTTGGCACTATTGCGAGAAATCTTCCTGAATCCTCCAAATCCACCACTATGTGGAAATTGTTTCAATAGTAGTCTTTGCCCTTACAATGACATATGTTCACACTGTATTCTAATTGCAGTCTGAGAGTTGCAAAAAAATTGCATGGGTGGGATTTGAACCTGTGACTTTCTGCTTACCCATGCAGAGGCCATGGTTTGAATCCTACCTTAGCAAGCTTGTGATTTTGTTCACAACACTCGGACCCCCGTTGAAAATGCCGAGTGTATATATAGGTCAGTGTATGGGCAAATTCTATTGTAATATTAGCATTTCCAGGACACAAAGCCAAATTAATGTTACATTCTTTGCGCTTTATCCCTCTTTGGGCCTTGAACCATAGGGACTGTGGTTGGCCCTGTCTTCCTCAATCCTGTTTACTCCAACAAAACCTCAAAAAACCATATGTTGCACAAAATTTGAGAGGTATGGTCCGATAGTCGGACTTAGGTGCAATGGGACAACTATCTTTGACTTTAAGATTTGTAATATTAAACCGCGTATTACTCATGAAAGTTTTCTGCAAATCTCGGTTTATCTCGTTATCTCTGGAATCAGGAGAAATATATTTATGTGCAGCAGGGTGGGGAAGATCCTAATCTGGGTCCATCTTGATATATGTACCCTTCAAATTGTTGTCCGTCAGGGTGCGTTTCAACAGGCACTGCAGGGACACGATCAGTATATGGATCAGTTGGAGCTCCTCGGTCATCTGTATGGCCAAGTCCTCATTGCTGAAGAGCTGAACGCTGATATGCACCACACGGCTGGACAACCTCTCCGGGGTGGTGGAGGAGGCTAGGGACATGGCAATGCGACCGTAGAATTTCACAAATGACCGGGTGAAGGTTTCCTGCATGAGGAGGGAATGGGGACTGCTTAACAAGATGTGCTTGTGGAAGATATGTATGAGGTCCAGAAAAATGTGAAGGACTGAGTTTCAAAGCCTTTGAGATTTGGCTTGGTTCAGACTCGGTTAACAGCTGACAAAATAGAATTGAACCAAGTCTAATTAAAAACTAAAAAAGAGTTGAAACCATCGACGTCCACCGTGATAACATGCACGCATATGTCAATTTAATAAATCTGAGATTTTTCTTTTTTTTATCAGTATGTTAATAATTTGGTGTAATTTGCTGTAACAACCATTTTACGCCTGGACTCAAGACTAGCCTAGGACTTAAGGCTTTGTTGCCTCGGCTTGGAGTAGGATGAAGTGGACTCAACTACATCACTGCTGAGCACCATTTAGCCTCCTGGAAACTTCAAAACTCATCTGAAGGTTTTGAGAGATTTTCCAGGATTATGTCAAATCCTGACCATTCACTGTATCTTCCCTCCAAATCCTGCCAGATGCATCATTCTGCACTAGCTCACAGCGTTCAGCACAATCCAGTAGATTATTTGTTCCAAAGCCAAATAGTCTGGAGTATATGCATGTAATTGCCAGACAACACAAGATCCAACAGTAGCACTGTTTAATGGGACTAGCTTCCCTTGTTCTGACATAGGAAGTTTGACCGGCGACTGTTGATTGACCATGCAACAAAGTGCATCAGACTTTTAGACCTGTTGCACTTTGCTGTGTCTGGTAGGTTTACGATTAAGGATGGTATTTAGCTACTGTTACTTTACCTTATGCTTGACGCTCATTGGCAGTTAAAGGCACGCATATTTAAGTACAATGAAATCTTGTTTTACTTTTTAATAGATGACGTACCTTGTAACTGTTGTCTGGCAGCATTTTTAGCAAAAGAGTTACAATCTTCTCAGGGAACTCAAATATCACAGCCCAAAACAGCAGCTCCTCAACAAAACTCAGTGACACCAGCGGATACGTAACAGCAGGATTACCTAAAAACCACAGTTAATACCAGCAAAAATGAACGGCAATGATTCTTGAAACAGTTGGTTATACCACATTCTTAAATTGTGTGATAGAAAACTTGTAGCTCTCTCTTACTGGAAAATTCATATTCTTTACTGGCACAGAAATTATTCGTGAAATGTGCATTTTGATGTGAGACCTACTGGTACGTCTCACAGCTCCTTTGACCAAGTTCTTTAGGTGAGAAGAAACGTGAATGATTGGGTGCAAAGCTTGGAAATAGTAGACAAGAAAGGCTGAATTTTTATGAAATGATGAACTTAAGTTGAAGTCCAAGATTTTGCACTTTCTCAGTAAATCTCTGTCTTGTACTAATAAATGAGAAGGTCTGAAAAATCAAGAAAATTCAGATGAAAAAAAACAACTGTATTGCAAAATATAGCATTGTTAAAGAAAATGCCCCAAGCGTGTGAGTTCAAACGTGCATTTACACTGAGTGACGTAAACATAAACAAACATGAAAGAATAAATTGTATCCACACCTCTCAAGAACTTTGGTGATTCTGGAACATTCAGAATAGTTTGTGCACTCTTCAAGATCTCCAGTGATTGGCTGATGAGATGTTTGTGCTGACTGTAGCAACCGCTCGATCCTGCTTGCATATAAAGAATCCATTACAGACACAATCCATTTCAAGATCCTTGGAAGCCCTTCCAAACGATCATTTTAAAGGTTAAAGTCCCACATTTGAAGCCATCCATAAAGTAACTGCTTAAACTATTGTTGACAAGAATACTCCAGATTGAAGATAATTAAATCATTCTTTCAGGCAAGCTGTCATCTTGAAGAAACCAATAAATAAAGGCCATTATGAATTACGTGTTGAAAGATGCATATATTTGGAAATTGCGGTTAGTAGTTTTTCCATTCAGTGAAGTGAGTGCAAGCAATGACACATTGTACATTCATGTGTGGTTGCTGAATTCGGATGCGATCAAAAGCATGATTCTGCTACTCCTGAGATCTTAGAAGACTGTTTCTTCGTAGCATATTTAGCATTCACTGAGTTCAACCTTCATTAAGTTAATTATAAATTACCCTTATTTAGGTTTCGATTACTTTTGTCACCTCAAATGAACATTCATGTAGATGCAATGAATAAATGACAAGAGACGGACTGTAACTTTTCGTGGCTGTAGCAATTACGTAAGTTCTTTACGTCCATTAAATTACAGTTTCTTAGCCAGGTCGTGCTGGAGGACTCACATGTACAGTACATGTGTATGAACATTGGGATATATGTACATGTACATGTAGGTTCAACAGCCACGTGTGCCCTGTTTTACTGCCAGCAGACATCTGGTATACATGCTAATCCCCTATGGGACTTTTACACACATAAAGTCCAAAATGTCTGTGAGGGTGGACTGAGTGGAAATTGAACTAGGTAGCCGTCCACAGCCCCAGAGAATTAAAAAATATGAGGACATGGTAAGACATGCTGTACAAATATTGTTCGTATTTTGTGGCTATACGTCAACATTTTGGCCCAAAATATTACTTTCTGTAAATATGAATGATTTATCTCTCAACTTATCAGACAACCTTACCCTCATTGAGGTTCTTGTAGAGCTCCTGGTCTGTCAGGGCCCTTGTCATTACGCTTCGCATTGCTCCGCCCATGTTGCATAATTCATGAAGCAGACCTAGGAGTGGCTCTCCCTCATGCAAATTAATGCGTACCATGGGAATTTCTGACCCTGTGCAGAGGGTGCAAGACATGGGAACAAATGCACAGTAGTGTAATTGCTTGTTTACTCAAATAAACAGTAAATAAATAAACAATAACGAGTCAACCTCAAAGTAAATATTGCTGTGTACATATGTACATATACTAGTATGAAATATATACCAGAGAAACCATCTGCTTCCCGCACCAATCTAATACCCGACCTTTACCCTACCTGTACATGTAAATCATAAACAATTTATTTCATTGGTACATTAAAGGATGACTAGTGTATCTGTGTTTCAAAAACTAGCAACTACTTAATGACTGCATGTACACGTACACATGTGGTCTAGACCTGAGACTAGCGATGTTGGGTTTCACACAGGAGATTGTATGAGAGGCAACACTGAAAATGTACATGAAGTTGGAAATGATGAGGATTACTGATCAGGTATTGCTGACTGCACACCACAGTTTACTCAATATTTCCAAATGTAATTAGCTCAGAAGGATTTCAAAGAAAGGCTGGCAGTGCGAAAGAAAATCGGAGCGAAGGTGAATTTGTGGTGCTTTGGCAGTTAACCACTCGGNGGTTGTTTACACAGGAGATTGTATGAGAGGCGATGTTGGGTTTCACACAGGAGATTGTATGAGAGGCGATGTTGGGTTTCACACAGGAGATTGTATGAGAGGCGATGTTGGGTTTCACACAGGAGATTGTATGAGAGGCGATGTTGGGTTTCACACAGGAGATTGTATGAGAGGCAACACTGAAAATGTACATGAAGTTGGGAATGATGAGGATTACTGATCAGGTATTGCTGAATGCACACCACAGTTTACTCAATATTTCCAAATGTAATTAGCTCAGAAGGATTTCAAAGAAAGGCTGGCAGTGCGAAAGAAAATCGGAGCGAAGGTGAATTTGTAGTGCTTTGGCAGTTAACAATGCAATACAAAAAGATAAAATCATTTTAACCCTAAACCTGTCAGATGAAGTATGTTTAATGCAACAGGTGTCAACAGGCAGCCAAAAAATCCAAAACAAAACAAAACTGCCCATGTGAAACAATGGGAGCTAGTCCCATTGAATGATACTACTGTTGGATCCCGTGGTGGCTGGCAACTACAGACATACACGTAGACAACCCGGCTTGTTGGATCTTGTTATACTGGGCATGCAGGCGAGCCACTTTGACAAAGGATGCGACTGATGAGTCTGGCAGGATCTCAGGTCAAAATAACCTGAAGGGTTAGGGCTGAGGTGTGCACATTGTAGTGTCAAGCCTGACACACATTTGCATTTACGCAGAGTATAAAATAGCTCCAAGATTCTTTGTTAAATTTGCAAAATTTCAATAACCTACTTTTCTCAAAAATTTCCCGTAGATACAGAACAAATCGTAGGACAACCCTTGGGACCACAGCATCTGCCATGGGCAACAAGTCGGCTGGAACAGTCAGGTTCTTCAGCTTATCCGGACCGTGTAGTGAACAAAACCTGGACAG